GAATATAAAAAGAATAATTATTCATCCTGCTGGTTTGAAATTATATTCAACCATTCATGTAATTTATCATATTTTTAAAGGTAATGAGAATTTAATATCTTATTAAATTACATATTTCTATACTCCAGTGTTGCTATGAGTTCAACATTACAAATTTGAATTTATTAGAAAATACAAAAGGTATAAAGAAAAAGTAGTATGAGCTTAATAATTTAAGTTTCATGACAGGAAAGGAGAAAAATATTATTCTAATTTGAATTAATTTGAGCTTGTACAAACTTGTGCTTTTATTAGGGCATTCTGTACAAATGACCTAAAAAGAGATTATGCATTTACATCAGTTTTCAGAGGCTGGAGATTTCACAGGGGAGAAAAAAATGCAATGACTCAAATATCATCACATAATGTCTCTTTCAAAAATGATGTAAATAAAGTTTATTTCTGTTTTATGATAGATTTGTCAGTTTGATTAGTATTTTTACAGTCTGTGTTATACAAATTAGCAAGTTCAGGGAAATTGGCATATTTAGTCCAAACAAATGAAAGTGTATACAATGTATAAGAAAATATTATAAAAGATGTAGTCTTAATAGATGCATGGTGATACTTATTGTGTCTTAAAGTATAAAAATATCCTAAGAACTACACAGTTATTCTGAATAAAGTCATAGAAGCAACCACTAAAACAGTGTTAATAATCTGTTCTGACCTTTTATTTAGTATAAATGCCATTTGAACCAAAAGATCCCTTATAATTTTTTGTTTTCAAGTGTTTTGAATTACCAGATAAAAGAAGACGGAAATGAATATTTAACCAAGCTACTACATAACCTATTTGCAGGCATGTGCTATATTGATCCTTGAGAAGTATTTTGATCTATCTTATTGTCTGTCAATGAACATGTAGTGGTTCTTAAAATATCCAAGTGACTATCAAGTTCGTGATCTCTATGGATGTGTATGGACCCATCTCTGTGCTTGTGTAACAACAATTCAATATATCTACCGTTTGAATAACTTTGTATGGTATATACTTAAAAATAAATGAGATAAAGATTGAATTGCTGAGTCCAGGTGTTTAATTAACATTACTATAGGTGATTAATGTATCTTTTATAATTGTAATAACTTTAAATTGAATCATTTTTCATGTGCTAATAAATTTAATTTTATCTACATTGACCATTAATAAAAACAATTCTCATATTTGATATAGCTGCATGATTACTTCTGAAAAAATAATTCCCATTTTTGGTGAATATGATTACATAACTAATTAAAGTTGTCTTACCCTTTTTACAGATACAAAATATTTAGAGGGAGAATTTCTCCATTCTACATACAAATTTAACAGTGACTGACCGCTGTTCTCTTTTGTACCTTGATATATTTATATAATATTCGCTAAGCATGAAGCATTTTAAATAGGAGTAAGAGCAAAGACTAGTCAACTCTCGAGTCTGAATGATGTCTAGGTAGGGTGACATGTCCTTTTATGACCTGTTACCTAGTGGACTAGCAGTTTAATATCCCGTATAAGTCTATAGTGCAAGACAAGGTGGATATTCAATTTACATTAACATGATCTTGTCCTGATATGCATGTAATATTTGCCACTGGAAGTTGAACACCAATACATCCATCCTATTGCTAATTCCCCTTTCATTGATTTTAGTTTGAAAAAAATATTTTTCAAACAGAATTTTTAGGAAATCATGTAGAACAAGTGGTTCTAAACCACATGCAAAATGCACAAGATCTAAAAAATGGATATACATTGCATTCAGAACTCCTCCAAATCTCATACTCCCTTTTTTCGTATCTTACCACATGTTTATATGTTTGTAAATCCTTTTTACACTTCTTGTAAGGATATCTTCATCAAATTTTAGTCCCCTTCCGACGAAGTCGAAGGGGACTTTAGGTTTGCACTCTGTCTGTCTGTCCATCTGTCAGTCCGGCAAATCAGTTTTCCACACTTTTTTTCTTCATGCTTGAAGATATTGATTTGATATTTGGTATATTGTTTTTTCATGACAAGTTACAGATTAAGTTCCAATTTTGTTCCGGTCTGATGATTTTGTGCAGAGTTATGGTCCTTTGACTTAGAAAATTCACTAAAATAATCAGTTTTCTGCACTTTTATTGGTCATTCTTGAAGATATTGATTTGATAATTGGTATATAGTTTTATCATGACAAGTTACAGTTCAAGTTTGAATTTTGTTCCGGTCTGATGATTTTGTGCAGAGTTATGGTCCTTGGACTTTCGAAAATTTATCTATAAATAATCAGTTTTCAACACTTTATTCGTCATGCTTGAAGATGTTGACTTGATATTTGTTATATAGTTTACACCATGACAAGTTACAGATCAAGTTAGAATTTTGTTCCAGTACAATGAATTTTTAACTGGTAGGGGACTATGTATTGCCATGCAATACTCACAGTATGCTTGTTTATTTTCACTTAATGTATTTCATATCAAGCCATATTTTTGTGGAGTCCTTTCTAAATGGATTTTATTCAACTTGTTTTCGAGAAGCAAAAATGTTACAATTTTTTTTTTCTTTGCATATAATTTTGTTGTGAAGCAAATTCATTTTCTGATGACGTACACACATAGTTGTCTCATTGGCAATTATACCACATCTCCTTATTTTTATACAAATATTAATATTTCAAGTAAAACAGAATTGTTAATAATTATATGTTAACATCACAAAAGATCAAAAAGAAATTTAGAACTGACCATTTAAAATGTTTTGCATGTGTGTGTGGGGAGTTTTTTTTCCTTCATATTAATGAAAAACAAACCTTTTTTTTTCAATGACATAAAGGAACAAGATTTTTTTTTATCAATGTTGTTTTTTTTATTTGTTTACTAATTTCAATAGAAGCAAACTTTTTCACTATCCTTCTGAAATATTTTTTTAATGACTTTTAGGATCAACTGTAAAAAAACATCCCCAAACGTCATACCCTCCTTTGTGAGCATATTATAGTACATGTACCTCTAATTATATTAAAAGAGACATTAGCAGATATCATATGAGTTTATTCTATTATTACTAGTTAAATAAATTTCAGATATTGCTCATTTAGAGTTTTAAAACTATACTAATTTTACAATTCAAATATTAACTAAAAGGTTAGATTTTTGGAACATTGACATTTCTAACCTAAATTTGTATCAGGGTTAACACAGGAACCAGTTAGCTGTCAACAAAGTTTATTATACTGACATCTGATTCATAATTCTCTCTGCATACACCTTTCTATGACTGGAAAAAAGGCCATGTTTTTAGAGATTTTGCTCAGTAGGATCATCATATTCATGCTCCATGGCACACAAGATTCTGGTTCATTTAATTGCACACTATTTATGTTTGCACTTATCTCATTTCTCAAAAATTTGTTTAACTATATAAAAGACATTTCAGCACTCTGTTTTCTTAGAAAGTAAAGTTCACAGTTCAATAATTATCATGTCACCTTGACCTAAATTTAGCATAAGATTGCTCAGCTTCAGTTTTCCTTTTAGGGTTCAATAACAATATATCAGCAATATATCACTAGTAGAATTATCATTTTTAAAATAGTATAATTCTTCAACATTTAATGGGTCATAGTGACCAACTTTAAATTCTGATCTGAATCTGAATCTGAATCTGTACAGCATAGTTTGCATTATTTGAATCATTTCGTTTTATATTTTGTCAATTTATTGACAGTTTTGTGATTGGTTATCTTCATTTTTATTTTTGGCAATTTTTTGTATCCTACCTTGAAGAATTAAGTCAGAATTTTAGATTAAAAATTACAGTTGCCTTATTGTTACAAGAAAATTATGGGCTTACAAAACAATGTATTATATGTCTCCTCTTTTAACAAAGAACTTGTGATCATTTCTTTTGTGCAGATCTCTGAAGGATGCATTATAATGCATGTCCTTTTATTGATTCATAATTGGATATTTTCTTAAATTATATCCCAAAATTAAATAATTTGCTAATCTGTCTCAAAAGTATATTAAATTTTCAAATTACATTTTAATAGAAATAAGAAGATGTGGTATGAGTGCCAATGAGACAACTCTCTATCCAAGTCACAATGTGTAAAAAGTAAACAATTAAAGGTCAAAGTACAGCCTTCAACACACAGCCTTGGCTCACACCTGGCTCACACCGAACAGCAAGCTTTAAAGGGCCCCAATCTATATAAAAAACAAGAAACGAGAAACACTTAAGAACCACATCAACAAACAACGACCAGTGAAACAGGTTCCTTACTTAGGACAGGTGCATAATGAATGTATTAAAGGTTGTTATGCTGTGTTATATAATTAGATTTTATGGAAATTTATTTGAAAGTTTAATTTTCAGTTTATTAACTATAATAGACTTGGGAATTGATTGGAATAAGTATAAAAAAACAAAGGGATTTAAAATGGAATAATTATTTAGAAATTGTATATGCATATTTTAAAAAAAATCAAGCAAAACTAGTAATTTGTAATGTGATTTTAAAACTTTAGTAATACACTTTATTAATATCATCTCTTACAAATGTTATATAATCACCATACTGTAATTCTAGAACTATTTAATTGCAATTTGTATTACAATATTTATTCAAATTATTATAAACACAAAACATAGATTATAAAATTGACACTTTTAAAGTTGGATCCTTGCAAATTCTTATATCAAGCTTACCTTAGTCATGATGAGATCAGAGTGAGAGATTTGTCTATGTGACGGGTGTTTAAACTGTCATTCTTAGCTAGATCGTGTAGATCCTCAATACCTACGCATACTGAACACAGAATTGACTGTATTTCTAAGTTTTGGTTGACAAAGTACATTGAGTTGAGATATTGTGATAATAATTGTTTAATTACGTGTCTTTGTAAGTTTGACATATTCAGATGGGATAAGTTTTTATTACAAATAATTGACAGATAAGTTTTTGTGTAGATTGGAAGTTCTGTGCAAATAATCATTATAGAAAAGTATGAAATGAAAAGTTAATCTACTTATTTTGAAGTGGATTTTCTATTCTATGAGAATTAGTCCTGCTGTGGAGAATTGATGTAAAACTACTTCAGTGTATCAGAGGAAAAAAAATCATTATTGGAATACTTTATGTATTGTCACTTGTTGGGGAGGACTAGTAACGCTATTTGGAAATCAGTCATTGATTTATAATCTACCGGACCACAGGAACTTTTTCCACATAAAGAACATTTAAAACTTCTAGTTTATATGAATAAAGGAGAAATGTGTTTGATCCATGTTTATATTTATTGAAATTCAAAAGACTGAAACATATTGGACTTTTTCATGTTTAGGTCTTGTGATATATTTATCACTGGAAAAATATACAAACTGTAAAATTTGGGGTATTTGACTTGGATTTATGAAAGCAAACTTATAACTTAAATCATTTAACATGGTTAAAGAAGAATTAAAACCTCGTCGTCCAAGTAAAGATCATGGACATCCAAGAGAAAGACGCATGTCAGTTTTATCACAAACTGGGCGTAAGTTTAAAGTCAATTTTATGTGATATAATGTTTCTGTTTTATAGAAATTTCATTGATATACGTTTTTCAAATTCTTATGATAATGGTTTTGTTTATTCTGTCTCTTGGTTAATAACATATTCTTAGAAATGTTCAGGTTTGAATAATAGGAAACCATATATCAGTAATGTTGTTTCATTGTTTTTAAAGTAAATCTCAAATTTCAAATCATTAAGATTTTCTACTTACCTGGTGAAAGGGGTCATATGATCAAACCTAGTTACTAAGATGAAAATTGGATTACTTAATTATGTGTTTCAGGTTCTGTATGAGCAGAACATAAATATGAAATATGGTCATAGACAACCTGTTTTATAGAACCACCTATAATCCCATTTGATTCAGCATATAATTTGATCACATGCTGAAATTGCATGAAATATTTGCCACTGGACATTGATCAAACAACAATCAATCAATCACCCAATCATGACATAGAAATTGTGTGGCTCTTGATTTGAGTGGTCAGATAATTTTTAGAAAATGAGGGGAAAATGACTGAAATTTTCTTTTCTTAAATGGAATGTATATTTTTTTTTTCTACTTCCACCTGAGATCACCCCTGGTTTTTGGTGGGGTCATATTGCTCAGTCTTTAGTTTTCTATGTTGCGTTTTGTGTGCTGTTGTTTGTCTTTTGGTCTTTTTTTCTTTTTTTGCCATGGCATTGTCTGTTTATTTTCATCTTATGAATTTGAACGTCCTTTTAGTATCTTTTGCCTCTCTTTTCCAATAAGATCATGATGCCATTTTTCATATTTTGACATTTCACATAATATTTGTTTATTATAAGGTTATAGTAATCAGCTTTACTGTCCAACCATCTGTGTGTACATGTATGTCAGTCACAAATATTTCAGCTGTCTTACTTAAAAACCCCTAGGAGTTATTAAATGATGAAACTTGGCATGATCATTCAACTCAGCAAGAAGGTGTTTCATGTACACTAGCATGTAAAATGAAATACAAAATACTCAAAAACTTAAAACACTGCTGTGTATATGTACACAAATTGTGTTTACTCTCTAACTTTAAAACCCCTTGGAACTTGATTATGAACCGTTGCATAATTATTCACCACTACTAGAAAGTGTTTTAAACAAGAACAGAACATTGAAAGTCTTGGTAAAACTCTTAATTCAACTAAGCCACCGCTGTGCGTATGTAGTATGTACTGCAGTGGTTTCCGCTCTCTAACTTTAAAACTCTTTAGAGTTTGGTTATAAAACTTGGTAAGATTATCCACCACTACTAGAAGGTTTCACTCATTCAAGACGGAAAACTTCATTGAATGTCATGGTAAAAATTTCATTCAAATTAGTCACCCTTGTCCATATGTACAAAAATAGTTTCTGCTCTGAAACTTGAGTACACCTTTCAGTTTGAGGCAGATATTTGGCAAAATTTTTCACCACTACTTAAAGGTATGTTATTTGTGTGCATGGAAGAAAACCATACATTGATGATCATAGTACAAAGTTAGTTGAACTGAGACCCCTTATTGCCTATACATGGAATAAACCTTATTAATTTTTCTAAAATGGTGTCAAAATTTGCTTATTTACATGTTGGGGGGACATCAATATACTATAGTTTTATGGACATCGTGTGCATGAGAATTGCTGAGTCTGTTTTATATATTTCAGAAATATAAGAATTATAAATATATACTTGAAGATACCCTGGTCTTTAGGTACTAATATACAGGGATCTCCACTGAAATAGCTGTACCAGTGAAGAAATCTGTTAACAAAAAAAGTTAAAAAAAATTATATATGTATTATTTATGAAAATTTATTACTAGAGGACAAACATAGCTGAAAAAACCCAGTCCTGATCTTTCATTTGGATTGAGATAATTGTCTGAACAGTAAAATATGTTCAATAAAAAGAAATAATATGACTCGTGCTTTAATATTGGCTGTTGAAGCTAGTGCTACAAAAATTTCATGAACATTTCATGAAGCTTGACAAGTATCATCAATAAATGTTCATCAATGATTCATTTTCTATATCCTTGAAATGATGGAAATATCAGCATCAGTGGCTGTTATTTTAAATTGAGACATTAATATTTTATATTGCTATTGTTTAAAGGTTTGATAATAATGAAGGCACTATTGATATTTTATTTGTAATACTTATCCTGTTTATGCATTAACGTTTATATTATTGTATTAGAAAATTTAATTATGAAAAATAGCTGAAAGTTTTGCAATACATCTTTCTTACTTATGCTTTAATCTATTTTCATTAGTTCCACTCGCCTTTTTGAAAGAATTAAGAATTGCACAGTCTATAGCAGAATTTAGAAATTTTTCTACAATGCAAACATTGTAATGGATAATTTTTTGTCTCGCCTGCGACAAAAGTCGCAGTATGCGAGACATAGGTATTACTATCCGGTGGTGGCGGCGGCGTAAACTATTTGTATAAAGCTTTATATTTCAGAATTTAGAAGACCTGGATGCTTCATACTTTGTATGCAGATACCTTATGCTACGAAGTTTTCGTCTGTCATATGTCCATTGTCCTTGACCTCATTTTCATGGTTCAGCGACTGCTTGAAAAAAAATTACAGTTTTTTTGTCATGTGAATTTCTCACTTACTATGAGTAGTAGGATAACTATATTTGGTATATGGGTTCCTTGCAACGCCTACATGTCTGTCAGACAGGGTTCACCTGACCTCGACCTCATTTCATGGATCAGTAATCAAGGTTAAAGTTACATGATTGGTCCTTTTCTCAGATACTATAAGCAGTAGGTCAACTATATGTGGTATATGGAATCATGTCAGTCTGGCAGGTTTCATCTGACCTTGACCTTGGTTCATTGGTCAATGTTAAGTTTTTGTGTTTTGGTCTGTTTTTCAAGTACTATAAGCAATAGGTCAACTATATTTGGTGTATGGAATGATTGCAAGATGTACATGTCTGTCTGGTCTGGTTCATCTGACCATGACCTCATTATCATAGAACATTGATAATGTTAAGTTTATGTGATACTTGTAGTAAAACCTTCATGTTACAAACTTTCAACATAAATTGAATCATAAGTAAAGCAGGCGAGACATTTCAGCGTGTGCACTCTTGTTTAATAGTTTGTTTATAGATTTTTGTCTCGCCTTGACGGAGTCAAAAAGCGAGACATAGGTATGCTGTTGGCGGCGGCGGCTTCAACAATGTATTAGTTTGTGATTAGGTCCAGTTCATGGTGAACCGCTAGTGGTAGGTCAATGATATTTGGTATGCAGTTGTATTAGCATTGGTACATCTCATTACCATGGAGATTATTTGGCCCCGCCCCCTCAGTCAAGGTCTATTGACTTTGAAACTTTGCTTCGTTTACATGTATTAGTTTGTGATTAGGTCAGTTTATGGGGAACCACTAGTGGTAGATCAATGATATTTGGTATGCAGTTGTATAAGCATTAGCACATCTCATTTCCATGGAGAATATTTGGTCCTGCCCCCTCAGTCATGGTCTATTGACTTTGAAACTTTTGCTTAGTTTACAAGTATTAGTTTGTGATTAGATCAGTTTAAGATGAACCGCTAATGTTAAGTCAATGATATTTGGTATGCAAATGTATTGGCATTTGCAAGTCTCGTTTCCATGGATTATAAAGCCCCACCCCTCATCATGGTTCATTGATTTTTAGAAACTTTTACATAGTTTACAAGTCAATGTTTGTGTTTAGGTTTGTTGAAAGGGAACTACTTATGATAAGTCTATGGTATTTGGTATGCAGTTGTATTAGCATTGGCACATCTCATTTCCATGGAGATTGTTTTGCCATGTACCTTCAGTCATGGTTCATTGACTTTGAAAATTTGCATAACTTACATGTTAAAGTATTGCTATTTTAATTTCAACATTTGCATTATCAAAAGTACAAAAAGGCGAGACATATCTCTGTGTTAACAGTTTATTGTTTGTAGAGACAATTTAATATTGTTACTGTATCTATTGTCTATCTGTTTTGGATGTCTCACAATATTGAGGTTATGTAATTTTATTTTTATTCTTAGTTGTATAATGTTTAAAGCACAAAGTTCCTATTTGATTAATTATGGGTCTGTCTATTGATCAAGCAAGTTGCCTTGAAATGATTGATGAATTTTACGTAATGTTTCTTTGTTCATTTTAAAGGTTTTTACATTTAATTTTTCTTATATAAGCGATTTTAGTCATTAAAAATTTACCAAGTATAATCTGAATATTAGTAAATGAAGATATTGGGTATACAATATATACCGGGATGGGGGTGGGGGGTAAACTAGTTGTTGTAGTTCTCAACCCTCCCCCTTTTAAATCTTGATCAGTAGATTTAAAAAATGAAAAGCACTTTAATAACTCTTATCATAACAATATAACAGATCGCAAAAACACAAAATGAAAAACAAATTATACTGACCTATAAAGGAATGCTTGAAATACTGAAAGAAAGCTCAAAATACTTATAAGCTATCACTCTTTTAATAAGATTTTTTACATAGGTTGTTCAAATTATTTAGAAATATTAGTTCTGGAATTTAACTTGTAAAAAGATTTAAGATACTGGATAGATGACTAAAAACTCTCCTTTTAAAATATTCCTTAATTTATTTCAATTTGTGGATGTAAATGAGTCCTTTAGTCAACAAAAAAGAAGAAAAAGTAGGAAATGTTGGAAAAAGTGAAAAATATACTCACATTATTTTGAAATATGTTGGACAGGTTCAGTATGAGATTACTGATCACATGTTTTAAGTTCTGTTCAAATTTGTAATAATTGTTCTCTTCAAAAATGTATATATATACATGTACTAGTACATATATAGGTATATATGTGGCTGTAATTTTATCTTGATAGATTTAGTAATTAAATGAATAGTGCTTTTTGGGGGGTCTTGATTCCTAAGAATTATATAATACTTTGTAAGGGGGTTCAGTTGCTAGATAAACACTCTGCCTAATTAATGATGTTTTGGGTATAGGGTTAGATAAACAGCACAATTTACTGTGAGCTGATAACCAGTATATATTTATGTTCCATTGAATAAGCATTTAATTGTTGATTTGTGAGATAATTTTGATATTTAATCTATTTTGATTGTTTTTAATTCTACAGTGTGTTAGTTACCACACTCAGACATTTTGACAAATATCCAAAACTCCAATTATGCTATAATTGTTCTATGTTTTTATATTTTTTCACATGGGTTTTTTTCTTCACAAAGTAGTTTTTGATGTTTTGAAGGATACTTTAATAAATTAGTGCATCATAGTTATTGTCAATGGTCTTCATATTTGAATAGAATGCGTAAGTTATTTATATGGCAGTTTAATATTGTGGAGAAAAGTACATTGAAAAACATGGTTAAAGGTTGTTAGGTAATTTTTTATTTTATTATTTTAATTGCACTTATGATATCCTGTCAGACATACCAACTATGGTTTAAGCTCTTGAATTGTCATGAAATTTCATGTTTATTATGTATTTTGTAAAGGACCTCTTAATGTCAACTGAGTAGAAAATTTTATGGACCTAAAATTTGTCCTTTTAAACTCTTCACAGTGACAGTTTATTGAAATTTACGAACTTTTTACCTGCTGACTATTTGTTGTATGGAGATTTGATGACACTTGTTTTTTCACTAAACATGAACTACGATGAAAAGGTCCATTTTGAATGCACATTCTTATTTTTTATTTGACATAAAAGAAATGTGTTTTCCCACAAACATTTAAGAACTTTCTCTTCAATTTCACTTTTATATTTTCATTTTTTTTTTGTAAAAGAATATTGAATGCATCCTTTATTATTTAAATGACACTTAAAGTGTTGACTGAAAAACATTTTTCGTTTGAGATTTACGTCATTATTACACTCATTCTATCACTTTTCTTTTCACACGTAAAACTACATAAGACGCATTTCACAGTGAAATAGTAATAGAATCTGATCATATATTGAGTCTTTGATGCTTTCAAGTAAAGGTGCTAATCAAAATATTTTATTGCTTGGTCTTTACTGCATATCATTCATTACACTTCAGTTCAAAACTTCTTGTGACTTATCTTTTTTCATATTTGTGAAAATATATATAGATGAGCAATATTTGGTAAAATGTTTGGGCTCAAAAATGATATCAGCCATCTGTTCTCGACCTTTTGTGATATGGGAATATTAATGATTGAAAAGGTAATAAAGTACAATTTGTCTTATTAGAATTACCTTTCAAAAACATTACAAAATTTTTAGTCTAGAAGACAAGACAAACATCACAACATTTTCTATTTGACATATCTTAAAAGAAAAGGGGTAATCATAAAAAGCACATTCCAAGTTATATAAATTGGTCATCAAATATATACATTTCTTAATATGATCAGCATAAATTAAATAATTTGATATTTATTTCCAGATAAGATAAAGAGAGGAAAGAACCAAGGAGGGACACCAGAGAAATCAGCTACCCCATCACAGGATGCTACTGATGAAAATCAGTCACCCACCAGAAATGTACTTTGGAATGAAGAGATTGAGAAGCTTCAAATCAAGGAGGAAGACCTGAAGAATGTAAGATTATTATTAGTACATGTAGTAATTTACCCATCTATGGGACATGTTTAAGCAATTTTTTATTTCTTTTGTTTGAAAATGAAAAAAAATTTCCTGAAAGATAAGTCAATGATGTCAATCCTTTTTATTAGGAGGATTCATTGATATAAAGAAATGTCTATTTCCAGTCTCAAAATCAAAGATGTGGTGTTTGATTGCCAATGAGAACTATTCACATGAGACAACAAAGAAACAGTATGTTAACAACTAAAGGGCACTGTACAACCTTCAACAAACTTTGAAACAAACTGCCTGTTATATGCTATAAACAACAAACTAAAAACCAGATATAGCAGACAGCAACCAACAACCGCTGAAGTACAAAAAAAAAGCTAACAAAAGCACAAAAAACACAAAAGTACCAATCTTAAAGAGACCTCACAGTTACTGAAGCTAGTTCAAAGCCAACTTCAACTAATAAACAAACCATGTTTTCCCTGACTGAAAGTTCTCATAGTTATTCTGTTTTCAACTATGTCAAAGAATTTAAATAAAAAACCATTTTGATATCAGTTTGCTCTTGATACAAAAGTTATTCAACATAATTGTCAATAGAATTATGATAAACAAAAGCACATTGTGTCCAAGCTTTGCTTACAAGGATCTGAAAACACTCCATTCTGCTTTCTCTTTTAAAGACCTTTAGGATCCTCTGGTTTTGTCGTATTAATACACACCTTAAAAAATTTGAAGACTGAAATTTCATTAGCTTATGTAATAATTACCAGAACAGAAACTAAAACGGATTGTAGTTAGATCCTTGTAGGCAAAGCTTGAACACAAGATCAGTATTCTAATCAGATTGTTTTTGAAAATTGCCTTTCATTTCTTGCACCTCATAAACTTACTTGGAACTTTGTCAATCTTGGTTTATGTTAATATGATATGATTAAGGATGACGGTCTGGTTATAAGTTAATACAGTGCTCCCTCAATTTAATGCTACTTTATAATGATTGTCCAACACTTTCTTCCATTTATTTCCAAAGACCACTTTTTGAAAATGTATTAGTTGTCATATAAATTTCATTACATAACCATCCTCACTAATAGAAACAATTTTACTTGGCCCACAAGGTGGCAGTACGACAAAAATGCACTGTATTTCTATTTGCAGACATAATTTTTTTAAGATATCTTTTGACTTTTGAATCATACTCATAGTATGTATTAATCTTATGTTAATAATGCCTTCAAGAGAGAGAACAGCCTCTATAGAAACTGAAATCAATGACCAAAGACTCAAAAGTCAAGGTTGCAACTACTATAACTAAATAGATTGATATTTGATTTCAGGATAATATATTTGAATAATCCATTCAGTCATTTGAAGGGGAAAATCTCATTTGATTTCAAAGTATAGAGCTCAAACGATCAAGGTCACAATAAACTATGTGTAGACTGAAATTTTAAGAAACTATCAGTGTCTATTAAATATATTACTAGTAATATGTTTTTATCATGTATCCAATAGTTACCATTATGATATTTTTGTAGAAATTATGTTCCCGTTTTTCATTTCTCTGTCTAAAGGTCATATTTGTTATTTTGTGTGTGAATTCTGCCTTGTCTGGAAGCTTAAATGGAGTTTTATTTAACAGAAGAATGACTTTCATATTTTTCTGCCCCACATTGACAACTCTACTATCAAGCAATTCTGGTTGCTCTTGAATATTTTTTATGTTATGTTTCATTAAATTTAGCAGTACTTTTAGGCAGACTTTTTCAGTGTTTCTTTAGAAATGTTTGATGTATAAATTAAATTTGTTTTGAATTTAGATTGTTGATACATCACCACCAAAAGAAAAGGAGAGGTCACCAAAAACTGCCAAGGTCATTGTCAAGAAAATGAAACCTGAGTCAGAATTGAACAAACCAAAGCCTAAAATGTGAGACTTTTAATTATTTGATAAATATTTGATCTAAGAAACATGAGTTTTTTCCAATTAGAACTTATATAAAACAATATGTGTATAGTAATTTACTAATTGTAGGATACCATGAAAAAATTAAAATCATTTACTGAATAATTGATTATTTAACATTGAATATTGAAGCCTTTTTAACAAATTGTTATCAATTCCAAATTAAGAAAGTTTTTTCGTATGAAAGCTTAGATCATGTAAGCATTGAAAAGCACTCCACCCCCAAAAAGTACAAGTTAAAAAACTTTTTATAATTCTATGCCTTAATTTTAATATTTAGAATTAAAATACGATATTACTGCTTTACAAAATATACCTATACAATATGCTTTTATTAAATTGATGAAAGGACCCGGTTTTCTGTTTATTTTATAGTGTGACTGTTGCCCGACCTGCTCCACCTGATGCACCTATAAAGGTACCAGACTACTCTGGTAGGTATCATCCTTATATTAATGTGTTAATCTTTAAATTTCGGAAGACATATATATGTTTATGTATAAAACACAAAATTAGTTATTAAAAATCAAAATTGAACAGTGGTTAATGTTTGAAAAGGCTTTTCTTTTGCACTAAAACTGTGTTACGGTAAACATGATGAGTTGCTCACTCCTTATTGTGCAACTTTGAATTTTCCTAGGTTTTGCTGGACCAAGATATTCACAAGATGGGTCAGTTTTACCACACAGTTTACTTGGTACTTTCTCAGAATTCAAGAAGATAGCTTTGGAAAAAGGAGACCTCCTGGTATGTTTAATCTTCTGCAGATTCAATTAATTCAGTTGAAGGGGGGTTATATTTTAGAATAAGACATTAGTAAAATTCCTTTTAACTGACAGGACTGTATGGCCATTGCATAAGATCCTGATTGTTTAATATTGTTGGTTTCTTTGTAGACAATTAGTTTAGACATTTGATAACTTGGATCTAGATAACGTTTATGTAAAGACAAAAAAACAGTTGAGGCCCCAAACTTGAAACAGAAAAAAAACTCTTATTATTTTAACTCTCAGAGATTTAATATACAAATCTTAATAAAATTTTTCTACACATTCTTTTAGATTAATTATCACAGATCTGTTTGCGTATTTTCTGTGATATATAAAACTGATTAAAACTTGCTTTCAATTTTAGGATGTAACAGTACCAGGAGGGGAGCTAGAAAGAGAAACTAGTGTTCCAACACTTAAGTATGAGAAGAAAAAACGTGTTCACCAACCACCATCTCATGCTAATGAGAACAAAGCTTTACATAACTGGCAAATGAAAATGATTGAAAGAAAGAAGCAGCAAGGCTATATATCTAGTAAGACTTTTTAGATGAATTGATTGTTATTTGTAAGATAGAAAATTATATATTAGTCTGGTCTTACCAAGCTTCTAGTAGGACACCATATGATATTTCTCTACTTGGGACAGTTCAATTTCCAAGAATACTGTATTACACTATATTTCCCTGTTCATGACAGTATAATTTTCTAATTTTGATTGCCATGCAAAATTGTTGAAATATGCACATGTTCATGAAAAATTAGTTTTAAATAAAGAAAAGCATGACTTTGTCTTAAACTAAGGTAATATTCTAAGAATTTTTTAAAATAAAAGTATACAGACATGTCTGTTTTAATACGATCTTTTGTTAACTATGATACCAATATTATTTTCAGAATTATTACAAAAGAATCCTGAAGACTTAGCAATGAATGCTGCAGATAATTATCGTAAGATCCAAGAGGAGAGATATATACTTGATAGAACTATACCCCTTACTGACTATGGCAAAGGATGTAAGTGTATTTTAAAGGAATTAATGATATTTTAAAATATGAATTCTTGAATTCCAATTATGATTCTACAGTTAGAAAACACTTGAATTTCCATACAAAAACTTTATCCACAGTTTAATTGATCTGTATGATTTCAACACAACTATTGTTCAATGCAGCAAATTATTTATTTGATTGTGTATTCTAATTTAGAATTAAAAAGCAGCAAGATATTAGTTGACTATCAGGTTTTCTTGCATGTAGATATAGTAAAATATCACCTGTGAAGTAAACTTTTCTATTTAAAGATCGTGTTGGGAGTGAATTTTGGAAACAACAGGAAAGATTTGGAGATGACGATACAGGCATTCAGTAAGTGTGGATAAAGGGTTACTGCAGTCTCATTTAAAGGGTTACTGCTGTCTCATTTAAAGGGTTACTGCAGTCTCATTTAAAGGGTTACTGCTGTCTCATTTAAAGGGTTACTGCAGTCTCATTTAAAGGGTTACTGCAGTCTCATTTAAAGGGTTACTGCCGTCTCATTTAAAGGGTTACTGCAGTCTCATTTAAAGGGTTACTGCATTACTGCAGTCTCATTTAAAGGGTTACTGCAGTCTCATTTGAAGGGTTACTGCAGTCTCATTTAAAGGGTTACTGCAGTCTCATTTAAAGGGTTACTGCAGTTTCATTTAAAAGGTTACTGCTGTCTCATTTAAAGGGTTACTGCAGTCTCATTAAAAGGGTTACTGCAGTCTCATTTACTGCATTACTGCAGTCTCATTTAAAGGGTTACTGCAGTCTCATTTAAAGGGTTACATCTGTCTCATTGATGTATGACCCTTATCTTCTTTTATTAAGTCTCCCAAACGAAGTTTGGGAAGACTTATTGTTTTTGCTCAGTTCTTATTATTATTATTATTCTTCTTCTTCTTCTTCTTCTTCTTCTTCTTCTTCTTCTTCCGCCGCTTTTAAATTTGAACTTGTCCGCACCCGTTCTCCAAAACCGCTTGTCGGATTAACTTAGGGTTTCACAATATGTTAGACTAACATGTCTAGTGGTGCAATCAGGGTTTTGTTTTTGCAATGGGGTTTTTAAAGGGATACTTTGAGGGGCAAAAAGAAAAGAGGGTTTTACTATAGAACCCTATGGGATTTTATTTTTTAAAATTTTCAAATGATTATAAATTGAAAACCGTTCGTGATAGACACAAACTTTTTAATTGAAAATGTTCTAAATGATAAAGCCCATTAAATGAAATACAGGGTTAGTCCCCAGGGGTCACCCCCACCCCCTGCCATTTAAGAAAGTTCTAATACCTTGTAAGTGGTCAAGATCCCCACCCCTAAACCATATATATTCTGGTTTGTCATGCTAAGATGGTTTGAATGATATACAGGGTTAGTCCCCAGGGGTCATCCCACCCCCTATCATTTGAGAAAGTTCTAATATCTTGTAAATGGTCGAGATCCCCACCCCTAAACCATATATATTCTGGTTTGTCATGATAAAGCACATCAAATGTAATACAGGGTTAGTCCCCAGGGGTCACCCCCACCCCTGCCATTTAAGAAAGTTCTAATATCTTCTAAGTTGTCAAGATCCCCACCCCTAAACCATATATATTCTGGTTTGTCATGCTAAGATGGTTTGAATGATATACAGGGTAAGTCCCCAGGGGTCATCCCGATCCCCTGCCATTTGAGAAAGTTCTAATATCTTGTAAATGGTCGAGATCCCCACCCCTAAACCATATATATTCTGGTTTGTCATGATAAAGCACATCAAATGAAGTACAGGGTTAGTCCCCAGGGGTTACCCCACCCCCTGCCATTTAAGAAAGTTCTAATATCTTGAAAGTGGTCAAGATCCCCACCCCTAAACCATATATATTCTGGTTTGTTATGCTAAGATGGTTTGAATGATTTACAGGGTTAGTCCCCAGGGGTCATCCCGACCCCCTGCCATTTAAGAAAGTTATAATATCTTGTAAATGGTCGAGATCCCCACCCCTAAACTATATATATTCTGGTTTGTCATGATAAAGCACATCAAATGTTATGCAGGGTAAGTCCCCAGGGGTCACCCCCACCCCCTGCCATTTAAGAAAGTTCTAATATCTTCTAAGTGGTCAAGATCCCCACCCCTAAACCATATATATTCTGGTTTGTCATGCTGAGATGCTTTGAATGATATACAGGGTAAGTCCCCAGGGGTCATCCCGACCCCCTGCCATTTGAGAAAGTTCTAATATCTTGTAAATGGTCGAGATCCCCACCCCTAAACCATATATATTCTGGTTTGTCATGATAAAGCACATCAAATGTTATACAGGGTTAGTCCCCAGCAGTCACCCCCACCCCTTGCCATTTGAGAAAGTTCTAATATCTTGTAAATGGTCGAGATCCCCACCCCTAAACCATATATATTCTGGTTTGTCATGATAAAGCACATCAAATGAAATACAGGGTAAGTCTCCATTGGTCACCCCCACCCCCTGCCATTTAAGAAAGTTCTAATATCTTGTAAATGGTCGAGATCCCCACCCCTAAACCATATATATTCTGGTTTGTCATGATAAAGCACATCAAATGTTATACAGGGTAAATCCCCAGGGGTCACCCCCATCCCCTGCCATTTAAGAAAGTTCTAATATCTTCTAAGTGGTCAAGATACCCACCCCTAAACCATATATATTCTGGTTTGTCATGCTGAGATGGTTCGAATGATATACAGGGTAAGTCCCCAGGGGTCATCCCGACCCCCTGCCATTTGAGAAAGTTCTAATATCTTGTAAATGGTCGAGATCCCCACCCCTAAACCATATATATTCTGGTTTGTCATGATAAAGCACATCAAATGTTATACAGGGTTAGTCCCCAGCGGTCACCCCCACCCCTTGCTATTTGAGAAAGTTCTAATATCTTGTAAATGGTCGAGATCCCCACCCCTAAACCATATATATTCTGGTTTGTCATGATAAAGCACATCAAATGAAATACAGGGTTAGTCTCCAGGGGTCACCCCCACCCCCTGCCATTTAAGAAAGTTCTAATATCTTCTAAGTGGTCAAGATCCCCACCCCTAAACCATATATATTCTGGTTTGTCATGCTGAGTTGGTTTGAATGATATACAGGGTAAGTCCCCAGGGGTCATCCCGACCCCCTGCCATTTGAGAAAGTTCTAATATCTTGTAAATGGTCGAGATCCCCACCCCTAAACCATATATATTCTGGTTTGTCATGATAAAGCACATCAAATGTTATACAGGGTTAGTCCCCAGCGGTCATCCCCACCCCTTGCCATTTGAGAAAGTTCTAATATCTTGTAAATGGTCGAGATCCCCACCCCTAAACCATATATATTCCGGTTTGTCATGATAAAGCACATCAAATGAAATACAGGGTTAGTCTCCAGGGGTCACCCCAACCCCCTGCCATTTAAGAAAGTTCTAATATCTTCTAAGTGGTCAAGATCCCCACCCCTAAACCATATATATTCTGCTTTGTCATGCGAAGATGGTTTGAATGATAGACAGGGTTAGTCCCCAGGGGTCATCCCGACCCCCTGCCATTTGAGAAAGTTCTAATATCTTGTAAATGGTTGAGATCCCCACCCCTAAACCATATATATTCCTATTTGTCATGTCTAGAACATTTGAATGACGTATACGGTCAGTCCCCAGGGGTTCCCCCCACCCCCAATGTTCTAATATCTTGTAAATGGTTGAGATCGCCACCCCTAAACCATATATATTCCTGTTCGTCATGTAATGAACATTTGAATGATGTATAGGGCCAGTCCCCAGGGGTTCCTCCCCACCCCCAATATTCTAGTATCTTGTAAATGGTTGAGATCTCCACCCCTAAACCATATATATTCTGGTTTGTCATGCCAAGATGATTTGAATGATATACAAGGTTAGTCCCCAGGCATCACTAATGCATATAACTTTACTGGACCAAACCAATTTTCACTGGACGTTGCCCAATGTCAGGCGACCCTGGGAATTTCGAATTATGGGAGCTTCGTTTGGGAGACTTCGTAACAGCATCCTGTTACAATCATTTCTTGTTCATATTTACATTATTAAATAAATATTAAACAGTTGAACAGTTTACTTTTAAAAATAATATCCTTGTAAGGAAAGAAAACAGTTTGGTAATCTATTTGTTATTATAAGGTCATTAAACAATTATTTTTCCCTAGTTTGTCCAAATTGATGTTATAAATGGACATTTCAGACGTAATCCAACTGATTTAAGTTTGTGTTCAGGATTAAGGTAGGTAACAAAGTTTGTAGATGGATTCTGTGTAATTCTACCTTTTTGTGGTTTTTCTGTTGTAAGGTATCAATATTTGTAGCTTTCTTTCCATCTCCATTGTTGATGCTACTTATATTTAAAAAATGTGATGGATTTTTTATTTTTTATGGATTTTTGGAAATATTTTCATCCTTTTGTTGAAAACTTTTTGACTTATAGAAGATTTATTGACAGCTGAGGAATAATGTTAATATCTTTACAGTATGACTCTGACACAGAACGAGAAAGGATATCCCCAGCCAGTAACACATGTAGGTATACCTAAGAGTATACGTGATGAGAAAGGTTGGCACTGGGCTCCTACTCATACTGCACCAGTCCATTATCCATGGCACAAAGCTCCTTACTTGGAGAAAAGGAAGAAAGAACTGGGCAAATATATCAAGGAACTAGATCCTCATAAACCAGTAAGTATTATATAGACACTTCTTGACACATTGAATATAAATGTTAGCACAAGCCTCGGAGTAGTAATACAGTACACTATTTCTACTAATTAAAATATTGTGGATGTTTACATGTTTTTATGTTTCATTGAAGAAATTCTCGCGCTTAGTGTCCTAAATATATCACAATAGTAGATGAATACTATCAATGGTTACTCTTTCTATTTTGTATAGAATTTATTCTGTATTTTTGTTCAACAAATCTAACATAAAAATCATTTGAACATTGCATCATAAATTATTTATCAGTACATGTGTTGTAATACTCTGAATGTAATATGTTTATTTAAAAGAGGCCATCAATCCATATTTCAGGAATTTGATGCCCTTGAAATCATAGGAACAAACCAGCCTCAGATGAAGAGACCTGAATCTGAAGTAGAATTTGTACATGAAGATAGAATGTCTTTGGATGATTTAGATGACCAGGACATGTAAGTACTTTCTGACTGAAGATCTCTCTGATAGGAATCAGTAGGTTTAGAAGTAAAAATTGACATTAATAGTATAAAAAACTTATAGTTCAAATGTATTCTTTCTCAATTTACATTGCAATTTCCATGAATGTTGCATTCTACAATTTGTTATTGATAACTAGTATTGTCATCATAAACTTGTTCCTTTTATAGAGATGCAGAGAAGGAACCAGGAGATCAGACCAACCAAAATGTTTTTGGACCTTCACTGAACTTTGCTGGCCAGCCAGCTAGATGGATTGGTGATGGTTATAGTTACCAGGGACAAGTTGGTATTGAAGGAAGGGTGACATTTGAGACATATTCTGGTGACAGGGTGACATCTTATCTGTACATTGTTAATGATGGAACCACTGCTGTGTACTATGACTGGAAGGTAGGTTTAGATGCATGATAGTATCAACCTGTCATTCAGTAGTTAGTGGAGACAATGAAGAATTAAACCTCAAAAGTCAAAAATCAAAAGTCTGAGAAAAGTCAATTTCACATTGGTTATTAGACAAGAATCGGATTATGAAACTGAAAACCAAAGTCATTTTCCTTGATTTCTGGTGAAAAGTGAGACATATGTATGCTGTTTCCGGCGTCAGCCGCGGCAACAATGTATTAGTTTGTGATTAGGTCTAGTTTATGGTGAACCACTAGTGGCAGGTCAATGATATTTGGTATGCAATTATATTAGCATTGCACATCTCATTACCATGGAGATTTTTTGGCCCCGCCCTCTCAGTCATGGTCTATTGACTTAGAAACTTTGCTTAGTTTACATGTATTAGTTTGTGATTAGGTCGGTTTATGGGGAACCACTAATGTTAAGTCAATGATATTTGGTATGCAAGTGTATTGGTATTTAAAATTTTCATTTCCATGGAGATTATATAACCCCACCCCCTCATTATGGTTCATTGACTTGAAACTTTTACATAGTTTACAAGTTAATGTTTGTGTTTAGGTTTGTTTAATTGAACGACTTATGAAAAGTCGATGGTATTTGGTATGAAGTTGTATTAGCATTGGCAGATCTCATTTCCATGGAGATTGTTTAGCCCTGTACCATCAGTCATGGTTCATTGTCTTTGAATATTTGCATAACTTACATGTTGAAGTATTGCTATTTTAATTTCAACATTTGCATTATCAAAATAACAAATAGGCGAGACATATCTCTGTGTTAACGGTTTATAGAAATATAATATGCAATAGAAAAATTTACTCCAAAGAAACTAATGAAGGTGGTGCATTTCTTTTGTTGTTGAGTACATATATTTGGATTTGACTGTAGTGGAATGTTGAGGGAAACATGTAATGGTGGCTTTATGAACTAGAAGACATTTATCTTTTAAAAAGTTTTTTATCTCTTTCAATAAATACTGTTAACCAACTAATTTTCTCGAGCGATTTATATTCGAGATTTTCGCGAGTAGAAAATAATGCGAATATAAATCGTAGCGAATATGTAAAACTTGGATTATTCCATAATTTAACTACATCAAGTAAATTTGAGAATCGCGAAATTAAATCACCGTGAAATAGACTAGAAAGGGCTAATCGCGAAATAAAGTATCCACAAAAATAAGTTGGTTTACAGTAGGTCTTTATAGGTAAACTTCTAAAATTTAACTTTCAAGGGTTTCATATGTATCATTGATTCATAAAACTATTGAAACTAAATATAAAAGATAATTATTATGTTAAAAAACTTTGAAATTTTGATGTGCTTCTATTTAAGTCATAAAGATGCACATTTAGAAATATTTTTTGTCTGAATCTAAACTGTACCAATAATTAGCACTGAGGTACACAGACACACAGCAATGTTTTCTTATTTTATTATGTTTTATAATAAAATATTTTCAGCATTTTGAAAGTTGTATTTGTAATTTCTGTTTTTAGATAGCTTCAAAAGAAGATTATTTTGATATGGTACATGTGTTATTGATTATTAGAGTTTCAGATTTTGTTCTTTTTTTTGTTGTTTGAAAATATGATGTTTTGAGAATTTTGTTATTAGTTTGTTGAAAGAAACTAATTAAAATTTTAATTATAATCCCCAGACATTTAAGCCTAAAACATTAATAATTGATTTTATTCTCTGCACATGTAATTTCTCATTAACAGTTGATATTACAATTTATCATTTTCAACTCAAAACCAACATCAACAATGTTTACACTGTTTGAAAAAAGAACAATGAAAATTGTATACACCAATAAAAAATAATATTGGTATTGATCACCATTTATGTTATTATGGTTGCCATGAATCAGCTAAACATAACTTGGCTTGTTTGGTTGACAGGTAATATTTAAAAGGTGTTTAGAGCTTGACATTTTGAAAAAAATTAGATTCATTGGTCATGTGAAACTTGGCTTTATTGTTTCAGTTCACAATTCCATTGAATGAAAACATTAAAGCATAAAATGGATGAATGAATCTAGTTAACACTTAAATGACAAATTTATAGTATTTACCCATAACATTTTCTTTTCTTCAGAAACTACCTAAAGATAACCCATTTGATTTGGTACACCAGCAGGTTCAGAGGTTCTATTTTAATAACAGTAGTGGTATGTACTATATTGAGTTATAAAAATATAACATTTGTAAACTTGTTTTTTGAGATTGGTCCTTTTTCAGGGCAATCACACACTTATTGAGGACTCTATTGTGCTGTTACGTTTTCCTGTTTTTGTACAGAAATCAAGCTTTGAGATTTATATTTCCAATTCTTAATTTTACTTAGCGAGTCAAATGCTTTTTAAATGAAAAAAGTCTGTATTTCAATGAATTTGAATGAAACTCCCTACACTTATAAATACATAGTGTTTCCCATAAGATCCAGTAGGTGTAAGTACCAGTGTTTTCCTCAAGACCCCAGCAGGTAAAAATACATAGTATTTCCCATAAGATCATGCAGATAGCAATTCAAATTAAAAAAAAAAATGTTTGAAAAACTTTGCCTATAATCGAATGAATGATTTTGCACAGAAACTATGAAAAGTTGTTGTTCCTTAAACATTTTTTTTTGTCTTACAGGTGTGATTCTACCAGGAGAAACAATGAAGTTTCCATTTGTTTTCAAATCCCCCAATGCTGGTGTGTTCACAGAACAGTGGAAATTTGAGACCCGTCCAGTGTTATGTGGAGGAGCCTCATTAATAGTTACATTAAGGGGTATTGCTTTACAGGAAGATAAATTCCAAAAGGAAAGAGAACAACTTGAGGTATGTGAAAAATAATTTTCAAAATAAGTGTTGAAAGTGATGTTTGTTATTGAAAAGTTCTTTTGTAAATTTGAATTAAAATATTTGCAAAAAGCTGTTGGCTGTATTCAAGACCAATATCTATTTTGTTTGACCCATTATATTGAAAGTTAATACTGTTATCTGAAGCCTGAGATTATGGGTACCAGTTAAGGTCTGAGGGTCTAAGTTATTGTTATGCTGTTTGTTTAAAAAAAGAAACAAGATTTGCAAGCATGGTATTACGGTATATGCCAGTTAAATGAAAGCATGCAGTTAACAGAACAACAGTATGACATTCATAGCTAATTAAATGTAAGTGGACCACTTTAGGTCCAACACTTCAAAAGTTAAATGCCTACTTTTTGTATAATACAATGTACCAAAATATTGTAAAGAGTAATAAGCATTTTTTTCCCCAAAAGGACTCAAAAATTATTTTTGTGTTGAAGCATTGTATTTATTGATATTATTGGCACTGATTTCCAATTTCTATGAGTCTTCGTGTGTTTAATTAGTTCAGTTAATTTTAGAATTTAAATTAAAAAATGGTGCATAAAGGTTTAACTTGATTGCATTATACAATCTGAAATTGTTCATCTATTTTTTTTGTTATCTTACAGAGAGATTTACAACAGAAACAAGCTGAGCAGATTGTAAGAAATATCCTCCATAATATCATCAATGGTATCAAGATACAAGATAGACCACCGTCACCTGTAGATGCTTATATAACTGAGGAGGAAATATTCTCTAGGAATAATCCTAAGGTATAACATTATTACAAATTTTTATGCCCTGCCTACGACAGTAATAGGGCATTATGTTTTCTGGTCTGTGCGTCTGTTTGTTCATCCGTTCGTTCCGCCGTCCGTTCGAACGTCTGTCCCGTGTCAAGGCAGTTTTTGATGAAGTTGAAGTCCAATCAACTTGAAACTTAATACACATGTTCCCTATGATATGATCTTTCTAATTTTAATGCCAAATTAGAGTTTTGACCCCAAATTTACGGTCCACTGAACATAGAAAATGATCGTGCGAGTGGGGCATCCGTGTACTATGGACACATTCTTGTTTTTCTAGTTTTGGGTAAAAACTGTTAAAATAATGATTCTGAATATTGAACTTGTAATGTTCTACTGATGATTTAGATAAAAAAAAAATTACAGACTGTTTAAAAAAAAATAAAAAATGAAATAACAACTGTAAATATGTAGGCAACGGGGGGTTTAAGTGTTACCCTTGACCGTCCTTCCGTCCATCCCATTTTTCGTTTCCGCACTCTAACTTAAGTTTTCCTCATCCAAATTTTATAAAACTCATAAACAATGCTAAAAATCAAAACTTGCAGACAGAGATCGAATTTTGGCAGTGAGTAACTTACCATTCTAGAGTTATGCCCCTTTTTAAACTTGGAAAATTGCAAAGCTTGAGAGGGGGCATTCGTGTTCTCTGACACATTCTTCTTCTATTTAAGCAACGAATTGGTGCAATTAAATTTTTTAATTTGATCTTTATATTCTTAATAGCTTTTCTACACTCATGATGCTGTCCAGGCACTGAAACAGTTGTATGCTGAAATAAACCCTGAAGAGAAAGAGGACAGGATATGGGATTTATCTGTGGAAGATCTGAAAGATGTAAGTTACTTAGATAATTACTTGTAAAGAGGGGTTGTTTTTGCAATTGAGAAAGTCATGTTTTATATTATTTACTGGTTTATGCCAACAGCTAAGCCAGGTGTACTGACCTTTTTATTTGGGAAAGCCACTCATATGGTGCTTCTGACCTTTTGTATTGAAAAAAAAAATTGTTTTGAATTATTGAATTAAAGAGATTCTTATAAGTATTTTTTTAATTTTGCAATGAAACTGTTTCAGAAGTTTGTATATAGAGTTATGTTATGTTCTTTTAATTTTTCATAAACTTCTTTTTATAGTAATACCTTGAAAACACTACTTCCAAGGAATGGTTTCATTTTATATTTTTTGTCCTTGCTATGGATCTAAATCTATAGAATATGTGTTCCTAACTTTATATATGTTTTATTACAGGAGTTGATGGCAATGGATGATGACGATGAAAGAAAGGAAGATTTCCTCCACCAGATGAATACCCATGTGTCTAAAATGTCCTATAGTCCAAGCAATCCTATCAAAAAAGATTTATATAAAGCTGGGTAAGAGCCTCCGAAAAAAGATCCAACAGTTCTAACCTTTCAAGGCAGACTTTTTTAAAGCAATATAGATTAATCGGATAAACAACGCAATTGTATTATTTCTGATTCTTTACAGGTGATTGGTTCAAGACCGAATGCATGTATTCAAATTTACAAATCTTTGAGTAGGATTTTATTGTTTATTTGAATTTTTTTTTTTCTTTTAGTACTAACATTTGTTTCAGATTATTTATTATTATTTACATCCATTTTAGTATAATTTTGATGATACGGGTAGTTTAATTTAACCCTATTTTAATTTTTATAATTCAGGTATGAGTTATTATTGGAGACAGTAGATAATATAGTGAGTGAGTCCATAGCTATAAGACAAGTGATGGGACTGCCTGAAAGAGAATCTTTGGATCAAATAGAGGACAGTAAGTTATCAACTTTGTGTCACATTATAACATGCAACTCTAACTGAAGTGTCATTTAAAATATAATCATTTTCCCAATTGTGTATGGATCATTACCAAGATCTGCATGTGGAAATGGCTTGTTGGATTATGATACCTTCATATTATATAAAGCATTACTGCCATCTTGGAGTATTTTATATTTGGATAAAGGGTTTACTCAGTTTAGATTTTTATCATAATGCATATATTTACATCATTTTTGTTTTTTGTTAATCTTTTTATCTTCTTGTCTATTTTAACAAAGGTTGAAAAAAAATGTCACTCTATAACAATTATTTTCCTTCAATGTTAATGAATATTTAATATAGAGTTCTGTTGACAGAAAAATTTTTGATCTTTGTAAAACTAGTATTAATGTACTTTTTCAGCTATTTAAATGTTAATAACACCCTGAAATTTCTTTCATTTTTATTGTGCATATCATAGTTACAGAAGGATATTCTCGTGAAACATCTTCCGTCCATTTGGACAGTGATAGTGAGTTGTCTCCCATTAAATGGCATGACCATCTTCAGTTCATAGCTCCTCTTAGACTTATGTTATTTTAAGTAGATTTAGGTTTAAATGCTTAGTTCTGTTCTACAAATTTCATCTGAAAATTCTATAAAATGCTGTTTCTCTGAGAAGATTAATACTTTATATAACGTTTCTTTTTGTTTATAGCATTTCTTAAACTTATGCTGTTTCAGTGTTAACAAAAGATGTAAACGATTAAAATAATGAAACTAACAATAATTCTCCTTTTTTTCTATATTTCATGTGAATGACAAAGCTATGTTATTTAGATAACATCAATCTGCTTATGATAATATCATGTATAAAACATAATTAAATGATAAGTAAAAAATGGTTTTATATGAATCTTTTACTTCATGTTGAAAATCTCTGAGTTTTTTAAAAGTATGTTAAGGAGTATGGTTATACATATATTCTCTCTTAAAATAAGTCGGGAGTCTTAGGACCATATGAAATTAGAAGATATATAATATATTTATAAGCATGAACTCTATACAAATCTCTAAACAATTCATTTATACTGTTTGGTAGATCATCGTATTAAAGGTATTTCTATAACATAGAAAAGCATGTACTGGTATATATATATATTACTAACGCTTATATATTTTTAATGGATAAGGTCTAAAGACTTAAAATATGTTCAGTTAATATAATGTCAGTTGCTTGTTTGCTGTTGGCTTCCACGTTTTTTTTAAAGAATGGGTATATGACTAATTTGTATGCCAACACTCCCTCAAAAAGTTGTTCCCTTTACAGTGTATACCTAATATAAGTCTATCAGTATGTTTGATGAAGGGTGATAATGATAGTTTGTTCTTACTTTTTATCCTCACTTCATGAGAACTTTTTTTTTACTTTATTATGTAGTTATTCTTGTTAAGAAAAGAAAAACTATTAAAATCCTCTGTTTCCAGATGATAAGTTAAATGAAACGAAATGATTTTTAAAGATACCCCAATTTTACCAAAAATTACCGAATTAGTAAAATGTTTAAAAGGAAATATATCAGTAATTATCAAAAGGAATGGATGGACAACACTAGGAAAACCTTTTTTATTTTTGGCTTAAAGGTGGAAGTGCAAGATGTTCAGTTTTTTTATATATACATACCTCATTTATAACTTGTTATATACAATGAATTAGCTTGTATCAATGTAAATATGGAAACTAATTTACTTTATTGTAAAAATACCTATACTTGAATAAGAAAATAGAATAAAAGCATTTTAATTCAGGAAAAAGATTTAAAGAAAGAAGAGTTAGCGAAAGACGTTTGACTGCGGCAGCTACTACAATAGGAACTTTAAAAAAGTCCTTGCCGCCAATACCTGACTCCCCGCCTAAGGGTATTAGCATGCTGTATTAGTTTTCTCTTGAATTTATTGTTAAAATTTTATTAACTTGTTATAAATTCATCCTTTTTGTGCCTTGTTTTGTCTCATACAAAATAGCTAAGCAAATATTGCAGGGAAAACCAAACAAAATTGTTTAGCTTCAACTGAAATTCTAAACAAATGACATTCCTTAGTTTGTAAACTTTTCATTTGTTTGAAGAGACACATAGACAAATATATATTTGATTTCACAATATTCACCAAATTTGTTATAAATTAGACCATTTTGGTGCCATATTGATCAACTGACACTGCAAAAGAAAAAGAACCCCAAAAAAATGTTTACAACATTAAACTTAACTGAATGCAAGATAAATGACATTCATTACTTTATAAATCTTTCACTTGTGAAAGAGAAACATACACAAGTATATATTTGTTTGCATACGTTTACATAATAGTCAACATAGATAAGTTGAAAATTATGTTTGTTGAGTTCGAAGTTCTCCCAATTGTTCTTTCTCACAATGTGGTAGCATGAGAACACTGTTCTTTCTCACAATATGGTAGCATGAGAACACTGGCAATGATGTGATAAAAAACCGAGTATTTGCACATAACTGAGCACATGGAACGATTAAATGAATGAACTGTTGATTAAACAGTAAAATCAATCTGCACTTTTGTTGTTAACAGCACACAATCTGTTGTGGAGAATAGCATACAAATTGTCTTGAAGATAGTTACTTTATTTTGTTTCAGTTTTTGTGCATGTTGTTTTTATTGTTTTATCAAGTGGTACCATCTCATAGACATTTGAGATGGATATAGTTATAGAATGTCAATATGTTATTCCTATTTTTTTTTTTAAATATCATCTGTTCATGTGTTTCATAAAAAAACTAAAAAAAAAAACTCTCATTTTAATTCAATTGTTCTATGGGGAAAATGAAATTAGCTTTTCACAGCATTTCTTTTAGTATAAAATTTGATTGTAATAATGACTAACATGTCTTGGTTAATGTGAACTTTTAACCAACCAATAAACAATCGATTTCTTTATTAGTATATTTAAAATATGTTACTTTATTTGATATAGGTTCTAAGTCAAAGGGTAATAAGACACCATCATTAGATAAGAAAGTTTCTCCTGCCAAGGATGCCAAACCAGCTAAAGGAAAAGATGTATGTATAATAAAGAGATATCTTAAACAGTGATATATATACTGTATACATGAATTAGAAGTCTTTGGAATAGCTTGAAAAGTTTAATAATTCATGAATTGCAATTTGTTAGTTTGTGGTAGGAACATAATTTTATATCTTTTGTTTTAATGTTACTGAATTTCTGGGTTTGCACAAAACAAATCAGTTTGAAATATGCATTTTGTTCATTATTCAATTTTACAATTTGTGTACTGGTAACCGCAAATCCATAAAAATATGTATCTCATGAAGAAAGGTACAATCACATCAAAAAAAAGAGTAAAATATTTGTATTAGTGTCAGTGTATGACAATAAAACCATTGGCATTCAGTTCATTTGAGTCATATCAATTTCATTTTTTAATTGCACATCTGGTTTTCAATATCCACTATTATGCTAAGAAATAGAAATGATGCTGACAAAATACAATTTAGAAACTCTGTTATTTCACTTTTCTTTACCATAAATTTCATTTTATTGATTAATAGATTAATAGATTTTAGTTGATACCAATTTATCAAAATTCACAGGCTGGTAAGGCAGATACCAAAGGGAAGACAACTCCTGGTCCGCCTGCCAAGAAAGGTCCTAGTAGAGGATCTGCAACACCAGGAGCATTACAGCCTGAAAGTCGAGATAGAACTCAAACACCAACTAGTGCACCACAGAGCCCAATACCAGATTCTGATCCAGTTTTATATAGAAAATACAAGGAAAAATTACAAGCTAAGGTATAATAAGAGTTCAATGTATAGACATATTGACACTTTCGGTATTTAGCTGAATGTTGTCTCTGAATGACCCTAGATATTTCTCCAATAACCTTCTGACATCAAACAACAATCAGTTTTTAATTATGACATCAAATATTTTCAGCATGACCCTTTTTTCCAATCATGATACTATAGTGTATAAAATGCATAACCTATCCTGGATAGGTTATATACTCAAAAGTATAAAAACAGGAAAATTTCAAGAAATTTTAGTAGGTCATTATTGTTTAAAACTTTTACAAGTAGCAGACCTTATTTTCATTTGGCTTGCAAATGATGATGAACTGCATACAGAAAAGAGATTCAAACAGTTTTTCTATATGATAATAGAAATAAGCACCCAAAATAAAGGTACATAAACAGTAGGAAGAACAGATGATACGGTTTCTAATAAAAACACTTAAAATCTAACCAGAAAAAAGTATTTAATTCAATTATATTGGTATTACAGGAAACAGTTACAATACAAAAAAAGTGTATGATATATTGCTTGCATTAAGTGTTTAGCAAGTACTTTTATAATACTGTGAATTTATTATTATTCTACGGATACCAATTTTTCTGAGTATATCGGGTAAACCACAAATTTAAATGTATAACCAAGTATCATTTCTTAAAACTCTTGTATGCAAACTTTGGCAAAACCATGAAATCAAATACCCACTTAAATACATATTTTCCTCAATCCATGAAAGTTGGTATCCAAGAAAATAAACGAATCCACAGTAATATTATGTCTGTAATGTTTTGTCTTCCCACATTCATGTAAATTAGCAATAAAGTAAGAAATATTGCTATATTAAAAATTAATAAGAGAGACAAATCTTGCTATCATTCAAAAGCTTTTTATTATATACCATAAAATATATTGTATAAATCCTTGATTTTGTTTTAAAGACAATAAATAACTATTAAACTTATTAATCTATTTTTTTTTCAGGCATATTATATTGTTGGAGACATGTTGGACAAAATGGAGAATGTGTTTGAATGTATTTTAGATAGTGAAGATAGACCACCATTGAAACTGTGATAAAAACCTTCAAAAAAACTTTTGCATTTATAGAGAGATATATGTATTTATAAAAACTATCTGTGATGTTTATGAAATATTTGTTTTATATTTACTGCCAATTTTTTTGTTGAAAATTTATGAAATTGAAATATGAATGTTTTATATAATTGAGATTTTATGATTATAAATTTAAAGAATTAATCTAACATTGAAAAGGTGTTAGTGATATGCAGTTCTGAAAAAAGTGATATAACTTCTTGGTTCAATCACTGTTTAAAATTATTAATTGTTCTCTTTACAAAAATAATCCGTCCAATAAATATTAAATTTTTTGAAGTTCATTCTGTTTATTTTCAAATCATACAATTTTGATGTGCACTAGTTACTAGGAGTAAGAGCAGACTTGACCAGCTGTGTTTTAGAATAATGTCAGGGTAGGTGACATGTCTTCAAGTTCACAGCTACATTGTAAACTTGCAAGTAAAAAATGTGGCACAAAGTAGCAGTTTACTACAAAGCAGGAGTCATATTCATATTACATTAACATGTTTTCATCCTGATATACATGTTGTATTTGCCACTGGTTGTTAAAACCCAAATCCATCCATTGTTTGATGTGATAATGATGGGCTGGTGTTTAAGGTCAAATGGTAATAATAACAACCATATCAGGGCGAGAACATGTCCATGTAATATGAACCCTGCTTTGTCCTAGACCCTTTATAATAGAAAAAACAAAGGATATGAGTATCCATCCATGACACAAAATCAATACAAGAACAGAAACACACAAAAAGCAAAGTAACAGCGTTTTTATTGCTGTTATGTTTAGTTTTTATCATTAACTCTCAGAAAAATCTGATGTCTAGTGTGTCGGAAGGCCCCGAGTTTTTATCCTCTGCTGGGTCTGTAAAATTGTTATTTCCAAGCATGCAGCATTTTGGATTAAAGTAAAGAGTAGTTGGCATATAGTAGGATGTCATTTGTAAGCTAGCATGTTAAAAATCTAACTCTGTGTGTCAGTCTAGTACAAAGTAGGGTCTATTTATATTTCAGTAACATGATATCTTCCCGAATATGCAAGTAATATTTGCCACATGATGCAGTCATCAGTCAATATAATGGTAGAATAATCTTCCCTTTCCTGATCCAAATTTAAAACAAGAATGTCTGGCCTGTTTTACTGATTAGGATTGAATTTATGTTGAAATTCTATTGAAGAAACTACATATATCACATAAACCTCACATAATCAATAATCCATAAAAATTAAGGTCAAGGTCAGATGAACCCTGTCAGACAGACAAGTACACCTTATAATCATTCTATACCAAAATTAGTTGACCTATTGTCTAAATAAAAGAAAAATGTATCTGAGGACATGAATACTCCTGCTCAAGCTTGCAATTTTCCAAGTTAAAAAGGGGCATAACTCTAGAACAAATAAATGACTCACTGCCCAAATTCGAACTCTGTCTGCGTTTTGTAGTTTTTAGCATTATGAGTTTCATAAAATTTGTGTGTGCAAACTTAAGTCAGAGTGCAGAAATAAAAAAATTTGCAATTTTCCAAGTTATAAAGGGGAATAACTTTTGAACGGCAAGGGACTAGGCTCCTAAATTCGAACTTTCTGCAAGTTTTGGTTCTTAGCACTGTGTATGAGGTTCATAATATTGCATGAGGCAAACTTAAGTTAGAGTTTGGAAACAAAAATGGGACGGACGGTCAAGGGTAACATTTAATGGCCCCATTGCCTACGGCGGGGGCATAAAAATCTGAGATAAGGATTTACCATTGACTGGTAAACCATGAAAATGAGGTCAAGGTTAAATGAACACTGGCGAACAAACATGCAAACCTTTAGTCATTTCATACACCAATTATAGTTGACCTATTGCTTACACTTCTGATAATAGACATAAACATGAAATCTTAACATCGACCATTGAACCATGAAAATGAGGTCAAGGTCAGACAGACCCTGCCAGACACATGTACGCCTTACAATCATTCCATACACTAAATATGACCTATTGCAAAGTATCTGAGAGATGGAACTAACCATTAAAACTATACACTGAACAATGGACCATGAAAAAGAGGTCAAAGTCGAATGAACCCTGCCAGTAGATTATGTACACTTTACAAATCATTCTATACACAAAATATAGTTGATATCTGAAAAACTTGACCATGAAAACTTAACATTATCACTGATCCATGTATGGTATGGCATGAAACATGTAAGACATTGAAATGATCCTATACCAAACAGTTGTCCTATCACTCATAATAGTTATAATATCATGTGATAAAAAGATTACACAATTTTGTTTAATCAGTTGCTGAAACATGAAAATGAGGTCAAGGACAATGGACATATATCCGACAGAAACTTTGTAATTTAAGGTAAGATATGAAGAACGGTATGCAGGTCTTCTACCTTCTTAGATATAAAGCTTAGTACAATTAGTCTAAGCCTTGGTGACATGATAAGCATTCCTTTGTCTTGCAATCTGAGACTTTTGTCGAAGGCAATACTATAAATTTAGACATAATTAAATTTCAATGCTAAAAAAGACAGAACACTAAATGTATCAATACTGAAGGACTGAGCTTTGAATTATATGTCTTACTTGGCAGCAAAATTATAATATACTGGTAGACATTCTTATCTGTTACAGTCCTTTTCATTGGACTAACAGAAGGAAATGTCCAATTGGATCTCATCATAGAAATAGACATCTACTAGCATAAACAACATTGCATCACATAGTAGTCTTTTTTTTTTTAATCAAAAAATGTCTGATAACAAGATCAATCCAAGCTATATATGGGATTATATCTGATAACACTACAGTATCCCTTTATTTGAGATTTTTATAAACATTGTTTCTATATAAATATGGGCAAACTAAATATAAAATTTACTTCTGACACTGTTATATTTTCATGAAGCTGATTCTTTGTGTTGTTATACAATTTTGCATTGTTTGCCTCTAACTTTTATCTTTTGAATACAAGAATATAAGTTTATAGAACATAATGCCCTGGTTGCACTATCACATTTCTATGTTCAGAGTGAACTGTGAAATCAGGGTCAAACCGCAACTTTGTTGTAACATTAACCAAAAACTTAACCTGAAATGTACTGGTTTCACACTCACATTTATATGACCAGTGAACCACGAACTCAAAATCAATTCCATAATCTAGCAGATAATTTAAAAAGTTTTTATCATAATGTATATGTGTACAAAGTTTCAAGTTGATGTTACCTCAACTTCCTGGTAAACTACCTTAACCAATAACTTTAAGCTGATACTGGACAGACGATCATACAGAATAACATAATGCCCCTCTACTATCGTAAATCTTCCAATTATGCAGTACTAACTATTGTGGCCTAATCCAGAAATAACTGTAGGATGGGGGGCATTTTTTATTTTACCCAACCATACATAATCTTTACATAAAATTTTAATTAAATATTTCCTATAATTTTTCAGGCTATCTCTCTAAAATAATTACCTCCCATCCAATTTTGTAAAAAGTGTCTCCTTTGCCCCCCATACAATTGATTCTGGAACAGCCCTGTACAGTTACATACAATAAGTAAAATAAAATAGCAGTCTGTTATAGATATAATAAAAACTGTTTATTAAAATTGAGCACAATTGACAATATCACTGATAAAAACAATTAATCCTTCATTTTAAGTCTATAATCTTAGTGGTCCAGACAGTCTATTCTTGTCGTCAAACAACACAGATCTCTTTCTGATTCTTCTGTGACCTGACCCAATCTGAAAAATATATATTCAACCATTTAGGCCATCATAAATGTGTTTGTTTTCCCCAAAGTATTCTGTAGGGGTTAGGTAGATATGACATGATAAAACTTCATCTTAATGTAAAAGATAATCATCTATAAATTTACCAAAAGTAAATAATTAGTTGACAGTGAATAATTAGTTGACAGTGGATAATTAGTTGACAGTGAATAATTTGTTGACAGTGGATAATTAGTTGACAGTGAATAATTAGTTGACAGTGGATAATTTGTTGACAGTGGATAATTTGTTGACAGTGGATAATTTGTTGACAGTGGATAATTTGTTGACAGTGGATAATTGAAGAATGTCCAAATTTAACTACAAGGAATAAACTACAAAAACAGTATTAAATAACTAAGGCTCAAGTTTATATTTTGAAATGGTAAAAGATCCAGAAGTACAAAATGGGGGGTTCATGGAAATAATGCTTTCATTTGTGCTATCAGGGGCAAGCACATGAATAAACAGTACATATTCATGTAGTATAATGGATAAGGAATCAAATGATCAATGATTTATCTACTTGAAAATGGATCTTTTATTTTTTTGAGATAGAAACTTGCTTCCTGAACTTGGTTGTCATTTTCCATGTTTTTATATATGGACTGCGCAGTGACATCCCACGTTCCAAAACAAGTCCTAAAAAATGTTACTATCTTGGAATATTTTTAGAGGTAAGTAGTTGCAAGCAAAGCTCACAAAATAATATCCCCAGCCCCTTGCAAAGTCCATGATTTGCCAAGGGAAACCAAAAATCAAACTAGGAGTTGTAAAATTGCTTTATATGGTAAAGATTTTGAATAAGTTTCATTATATAATAATTAGGGCTTTAGGAGGAGCAGATACATAAATTAAGAGAATAGAGTGAGTGGTGTACTGAAATTTGGAGGTCTCTTAACTATTGATCCCAATGGGTTTTAGCGCTCTGAGTTGGAGTATTGTTTACAGGATATCGCAGGTACATAAATTTACTATAGTGTGCAGATATGGCCATGGTATTCTAGATAGTACGCACATGATTTTCGGAAGGAAGCCTCGAAAATAAATTCTGATCAAAATAAAGATGCACAAAAGCATTATACAGAGTTCCAGCTTGAATCTCAGGGCAGAAGGGTGCTAGTTATCTAAAAGGGCACTTTAGCACAATAACCCAGATTGTAAGGGCACTGTTGGACAGTGTAAATTATATTGAATATTGCTAGGCTCAACTGGAGGAAATTAGTTATATTTCAAGCATATTTAGAAATTATTGTGTTCTTGATGTTGGTTCCAGTAAGAACTTTTTTTTCAAATTATCATACCATGAAGCAAATCATATTATTTTAATTTTAATCTAAACAAACTTGTACATATTTGGTAAGGAAAATAATCATCAGAAATTTAAATGTTTTATTGCTGATACCAGTCTATAATATTGATAACTAAGTATGCCTTTAAAATTATTTAAAATTTTATTTTCTTTAATGCCTACTTAATAAAGTTTTTCAGGTGTACATGCTGTACATAAACATTACAAATGGATAACATGTGGACATTCTGTATTAAATATCTAGTACTTGTTCAATTATCTTTAATCACCTAATTAGCAGTAAACAATGATTAACAAAGGCGATAAAACAGCCAAAGGCAAGGTATTTAACTTTATGCCATTGTCAGTTAATTAGTGTGTTACACAATCCGGTAACAATTTTACTGGAAACGCTGATAGGGCATGAATAGGATTCAGATTCAATAGTTTATTAAAGTCTCACCACATACATACAAGTATAAACACATTATAATATCAAGTACACAATATAAAAATTTAGAATGCATGTGCCATTCTTAAAAGAACTATGAGAGACTGTTATATACAATTATAAAACAACAGAATTAAAACATAATTTTGTTATTTACACAAAACATAAAAGTGCAATATCACCATGCACATTCAAGGATAAAACCTGTTACATGTACATAAAAAAAAAAATAACAATAATTTTTTAACAGTATAAGATACTATTTCGTCGTAATAAAATATTATGGCAGGTTTTGGCAACAGAACTACAAACATTTTCATTTTTGAACAAAAATATAAATTTTTCATCATCTGACAAAGTTAAAAACATATTATTATGTTGAATTATATCAATAAATAAAGACTGCCTTAAATCTTCATATAATGGACATGTTAACAGTACATGTTTTTCATCTTCTATATCATCACAATTGAAACATAATCTTTTATCTAAATCTAATCTTTCGTAACGACCAGTTTCAATTTTTAAAGGTGCTACTCCACATCTAAATTTCGCATATGCACTGCGATATCGAATAGGTATATTTTGCAACAAATATTGTTCAGTAGAGTATGAAAATTTAAACAATTTATAAGTTCTCAACTTATTTCCTTGACCATAAGAATCAAGCCTTGTACTCCATTCAGTTTTATAATTATCAAAAATATTAACTTCTAACTGATAAATTATATTTTTATCCAGTATATAATCATCTACATTACAAAATCTGTCCATATTGTAAAGTTTCAACATATCTATACCTTTATAACTCCAATTTTTAATTTTTTAACTGCTTTTTCTAATTGACCATATAAATACTTTATAATTTATCCTGTCTTTATCCATTTTTGTACATCTTGCCCAGTGTCTTAAAATGTTAGACCACTGTTTAACATATGGAGGCTTCCAACCCATGTCACCTGAAACAGCATCATTGGGGGTATACTTTCCAACTCCCATATAAAATCTCATGGCTCGGTTCTGAACTGCTGAAATGCAGGAGAACTCACTTGTACCCCAAATAGCTGAGCCGTAATTGATGACTGACCAAACTAAAGTGTCAAACAATTTGGTAAAAATATTGTGTTGAAAGCCACCATGTGCTTTACATTTTACTATAAGAAGGCCTAATGCCCGACTTGCTGACTTTGCAACTGCCTTTGCCATAACTTTATAATCTAAAAATTCATTTAATACTAATCCTAAATATTGATAGCTAGAAACATAATCAATGACTTCACCATTTATATTAAAAACAAAATCTGATCTTATCACAGAGGGGTTTCTAAAATGCATGATTTTTGATTTATATAAATTAACTTTTAAACAATTATCATTACACCATACACCTAATACATTAATCAATTTCTGCATATCTTCTGTATTTTCAGACAATAAAACAAGATCATCTGCATATAATAAAATAGCAACCTTTTCACCGTCAATGTCTATACCAATATTTAATGCTTTTATATCATCAATTAAGTTATTAATGAAAATATTAAACATGACTGTGGATGAAACACATCCTTGTTTCAAACCAGTATTTACACTGAACCAATCAGTAGTATTACCGTTCACACGAACACAGCATTCTATATTTGAATAAATGGCTTGCAAAGCACACATAAACTTTGTACTTATACCTAAATCTGTTAATTTGTTAAACAATAGTGACCTGTCAATTGTATCATATGCCTTCTTAAAATCTACAAAAGAGACAAAAGTTGACAATTTACATTTTTTCCTAGTTTCAATTATTGACGTTAAAGTGGAGACATGGTCAATAGTACTCCTGCCTTTGATAAAACCATTTTGTTCATCATTAATTATCTCCCTTTCATCTAACCATTCTGTTAATCTATTATTTAAAACACTACAATAAAGTTTGTATGCACATGGTGCTAAAGTAATACCTCTGTATGACAATGAATCTCTAGGATCAGAAGTTGAACATTTTGGTATTGGATTAATTATACCTTTATTCCAAGTATTTGGAATTTTACTAGATTTAAAACATAAATTAAATAATTTTGTTAAAGTACAAATAACTAAGAAATTTTTACACAATTCAGATTGAATTAAATCTACACCTGGACTTTTATTATTCTTTGAACTCATGACAATATTATGAACTTCATCAAAAGTTATTTCATTATCTAATAAATCAGAAACAATAATATTTTCTAAATTTAAATCTTCTTTTACAAGTTTAGGATCTGAGTTGTTACTCTGATTTAACAAATTATAAAAACAATCTTTCCATTTATGCAATACTGAGTCCAAATTGTTTGTTACAGAGCCGTCTGACAGCACAACTTCATTCGGAATAGCCGATTGCCTTTCATTTCCTATACCAATGTTACCAATTTTCCGCCAAAATTGTTTGGTGTCATTATTGTTCATATATAACAAGTCTTCTTGACATTGGTGCCAATAACAGCGTTTAGATTGTTGAACAAGTTTATCAAAGTCCTTTCTCTTGTTCAAATACAGAGTTCTTAATGCAGATTTATTGCTATTGTTCGTACAACGCAGATACTGGTTCTCAGCCGAACATGTCTCATTCCACTTTGAAGTCAAGTCATTGGACCACCACGGTTTCTTGAAACGTCTTTTTTTTATTGTTACAACTATTCAAAAGTTTTGTTTTTGTATTTAGTTTGGAATTCATCTCATTATGCATTATATTAACAAATTCACAATATATATTATCTACATCATCTTGATCACCATTACTTTTTTCTATATCTCTAATACATGAATTTATACTATTAATCACATTTTCATCTTCAAACCAACTATTCGGAATATTTTTTACATCATATATAACACGTTTCTGAACATTTTGATTTTTTACATTGATATTTTCCTTTTCAATATTACCACACATATAACTTTCCATTTCCCAGCATAATATCGAATGATCAGGAATAAATCTGGGTTCAACTGACCCTATAGAACTAATTAACCAAAGTCCATGCCTTGGTAACAGTAAACCCGTAAATTAATTTTGACCAAAAAAAACCAACTAAATAGGTGCCCATTGGCAGTATAAGGTAAAGATCTTGAGAAAATTTCTATAAATCATGATAAGACATTAAAAGTAAAAGAAGTGGATACAAATGTGTACAAAAGTATGCAGATATGATGGTCTATGTCATCCATCCTCTCCAAAATAAATCTAAGTGCGTGTGAGCACTGAAGGGTAAAGATTGCTTTCATTTTGTGAATTTAAAATAAAACATTGAATTGTATTTAGCTATTAGGCAAATTATAAATTTGAGGTAGAGTTACCTTAAACAAGTTTTCTTACAAATATGATAATTCAAATACAAATAATATTCTAACTTAAACATCTTAGTATTTAAACATATCATCAATAAATTGCATGACATTGACTGTTCAGAACTTAAGAATGAACACTTCACTGCACTATTTTATTTGAACTATTAAAGGTAGTCATAAACCTTGGAAGTTATATCAAGTAAGTACCATAAGGGTTTTGATTGAAATGCAATCATTACCCCTAAAAATCCTTTAGATGAAAAATTTTTAAAAATGGGATAGAAGGTCAAAGACAGATGGACGCCGCCATCACTATTTACCCCCACTTCAAAAAGCAGGGGGTATATAAGCTTGGTATCTAGTGAACTGTAACAAGCAACTGATTATGTTAAATTAACACAATCTCAGAAACTGAATCAGAAATAAAACTATACCACACTTACATTAAAAGGGCTATTTGGTTCTGGAGAACTGAAATTAAAACTGTCATTTTCCTTATCAACATCTGGACTGTTGATTATTTGATTGGCAAATTTCTTTTTCAAAGCTTGAGCTATCACTGATGCAGGATCATTATTAGATTCTCGTCTTCTTGGTTTTAATGGTGTTCCTCCAGGAGACCTGTAAACAGAAAACAAATTTGGAGCTGTCACTGATGTACAGGGTATTGTAAGACTTCTTTCTCAGTTTAGATTTATAAGAGAGATGTGATCAGGAAACAAGGAAAGGTAAAATTTACAGGAAAAAATTTTGAAGATGGTATAATTGTTACAAAAACATCAGCAAAGCCCCAACAGTAAACATTAAAAATGAGGTCAAAGACTATGATAGCCAGATTTTTATGGTTTTTGATTTGAAAGGCCATACAAATGATAATAACATTAGTATAGTATTTGAAGCAAAATATAAACCAAAATATATTTTAAAAGTGAAAAGCAGCCAAATTTTGATTTGCAGGGCTACATGGCTTTGTCCAAATGTGTTTAAAAAGTAAAGTGAAAATCTCCAATGTATAAACATACATTTTAAAAGGTTTGAAGGCTCTGAGTTGATCTGTTTTGTTTACAAAATACTGAGGAAAACTGACTGAGTTTCACCATCTAGAAAAAAAGTGAGGTGCACAACATTGCTCGATGTACCTAGATTCTAGAAAGTTTGAAGGCTTTGGGTTTAAACCTGTAGGAACATTTGATTACATGAAACCTGTATCCACTTTTCTTAATCCATCTGCCTGAAATTTGGCTTGACAATGAATAATTTGTTTCCTCTTGCAATTTTATTCAACAATGTAATATTGCTTCCTTGATATGATTGCTCAATTTTTCAACATAAAAAAGATGCCAATAAAAGTTAGAATTTGTCCTGTTGATTGAATGCTGTCCTGAAAACCTGAAAATATTTTTTTTACTCATTTGACTAAGTAAAATTGCTATTTAGAGTTTTTTGCCCATTTTTCAACTAAAAAAGATGCCACAACAAGAATGTGTCCATAGTACACAGATGCCCCACTCGCACTATCATTTTCTATGTTCAGTAGACCGTGAAATTGGGGTCAAAACTAAAATTAGAAAGATCATATCATAGGGAACATGTGTACAAAGTTTAAAGTTGACTGGACTTCAACTTCATCAAAAACTACCTTGACCAAAAACTTTAACCTGAAGCGGGACAGACGGACGGACAGACAGATGAACAGATGGACAAACGAAATAACGCATAGACCAGAAAACATAATGCCCCTACTACTACTATCGTAGGTGGGGCATAAAAATTAGAATTTGTCCTGTTGATGGCAAGAAGCTGTAGGTAAGTATATGAAACTAAATGATTTCCACATAAACCTACTTTTTTTTAACATTTTTTATAAATGCCAACTCATTGTTATAAATTGATTAAATTCATTGTGCACACTAATTACCTTTGAATACTTTTCAGTTTCACACTTCCAAGACCTTTCAGGACATCTGTCAATGTTGCCTGTTTTGGGGGATTTTCAGGAGTACTATTTCTGTTGTCTTGTATTGTCTGTAGCACTATTGTCTAAAAGTAAAAAAAAAAACTAAAGCAATGGACAAAGTTGTTTAAAAAAATAATTGAACACCTTTTTTTCAGTCTTTTACTTACTGTTTTTTTAGGGAGAATGTGCACTGCTTTATAGAATGTAATTTCTAAAAATACATTCATGCTATTCCATTGAATTGGATGTGAGGAGGTACAAGGGACTTCTAAAAATCACTTAAAACCATCAATATTTCTTTGAATAGTTTTGCATACACTAAATAAACTTAAAACCATGAATGACAGACTGCACAACATTTTTTCTTGATATTATATTATTATCAGTGCAGCACAGTATCATCTTACCTGTTTTTCTGTTGCAGTCTGGGTAACAATTGGTGTTGACTGCTTTGTTGCTGGGAGTGGTGGTGGTGGGGGAGGGGCAATTGGACAAGGTGGTGGCACTGGTACATTATCCTCTATTGGTAACCTTTCTTCTTGGAAAGACTGTGGAGGTACCGGTACTGTAAATAATATAACACAAAATGTTTTATTTCAAATTTATACATCAAAGTTATTCTCTTTCTTATAATAAATAACTTTATTTAAAAAATTAGAAGGATTTTTGAATATTGTTTTTATCAGTAAATTAAATCCAAACTAAATATTATTGTTATACACAGTACAATAACGGTTCTATAATCTGTTGATACCTATATTTTGGCATTGCATAAAGTCATGTTTTTCTCGAACTGTTAATGATGTCTTTACACTAAATCCATTGATGTTGGATGTGTACTGATTGATATTTTAGTCTTAAATATATGATTTTTTATAAGTCGTTTTTGTCTTTGAACTAGCTTTCAGCAACTGCGAGAAATCTCAGATCTGTATTTTGTGTCTAGTGTGCTTTTGTGAACAGTTAGGGTTTTCATGTGCTTTGTATCAATCTGATGAGTTAAGCCCTTTTCAACAGATTTTTATTGTATGTTCTTATGTTGTACTTTTACCCCACTGTCCCAGTTAAGGGGGAGGATTTGGTTATGTGCCTGCCCAAGTCAGGAGCCTGTTATTCAGTGGTTGTCGTTTTTTGCCATATATCATATTTGTTTTGTAAATAAATCAGGTTGTTTGAATTGTTTCACATTTGTCATTTATAGATATAAGAAGATGTGGTAGGAGTGCCAATGAGACAACTCTCCATCCAAGTCAAAATTTATAAAAGTAAACCATTATAGGTCACAGTACGGTCTTCAACACGGAGCCTTGGCTCACACCGAGTTATTTATGCGGTATGTACTTTTGCCTGTTTGTTGAAGAATGTATGATGACATATAGTTATTAACTTCTATGTCATTTGGTATCTGATTGAGAGTTGTCTCATTGGCAGTCATACCACATCTTCTTATAATATTTATGCATAAGCTTTGGCTTAAAGAAACATCATTTAAGTGAAACCATAATGAAGAAATGCCAGGTTTATTTTTGAAAAATAAACCACTTTCAGATGATGAAAATGGATTCTTGTTTCCAAATATATATGTCAAACTTATAGAAAAATCTACTGCTCTAACTCAAAATATAGACAAATTTATCTTGAATACAGTTTGACAGCTTCATTATTCTTATTTTTTACCTTTTCCAACTGGACAAAATCTCTACATTATAATTTACAATCTAACTTTTTACAGTTTACATTTGCCACTCTCTATTTGATGCAATAAACATGAATAAATTGAAAAAAAAGTATAAAAAAAGGAACAAGAGTGCACACACTGAAATCTCTCGCCTGCTTTACTGACCATTGATTCTATGTTGAAAGTCTTAAAAGATAAAGGTTTTACTAAAAGCATCACAGAAACTCAGGTCAGATAAACCCTGTCAGACAGACATATACACCTTATATTTTTTTTATACACAAAATATAGTTGACCTATTGCTTATAGTACTTGAAAAACAGACCAAATACAAAACATAACATTGACCAATGAACCATGAAAATGAGGTCAAGGTCAGATGATACCTGCCAGACAGACAGGTACACCTTACAATCATTCCATACACCAAATACAGTTGACCTATTGCTTATAGAACTTGAAAAACAGACCAAATACAAAAACTTAACATTGACCAATGAACCATGAAAATGAGGTCAAGGTCAGATGATACCTGCCAGAGAGACAGGTACACTTTACAATCATTCCATACACCAAATATAGTTGACCTATTGCTTATAATCCTTGAAAAACAGACCAAATACAAAAACTTAACATTGACCAATGAACCATGAAAATGAGGTCAAGGTCAGATGATACATACCAGACAGACAGGTACACTTTACAATCATTCCATACACCAAATACAGTTGACCTATTGCTTATAGTACTTAAAAAAACAGACCAAATACAAAATTCTAAGATTGACTAATGAACCATAAAAATGAGGTCAAGGTCAGATGATACCTGCCAAACAGACAGTTACACTTTACAATCATTCCATACACCAAATACAGTTGACCTATTGCTTATAGTACTTAAAAAACAGACCAAATACAAAATCTTAAGATTGACTAATGAACCATGAAAATGAGGTCAAGGTTAGTTGAAACCTGCCAGATTGACATGTACCCCTTACAATCATTACATACACCAAATATAGTTGACCTATTCCTTATAGTTCTTGAAAAACAGACCAAACACAAAAACTTAACATTGACCAATGAACCATGAAAATGAGGTCAAGGTAACATAAGGTTTCTGCATACAAGATATGAAGCATCCAGGTCTTCTACCTTCTGAAATATAAAGCTTTATAGAAATAGTTTACGCCACTGCCGCCGGATAGTAATACCTATGTCTTGCATACTGCAACTTTCGTCCCAGGCGAGACAATAAATATACTATCCATCACAAGGATTATTTTCATTGATATCAAAATTCAAAGGGCAATTATTTTCATCACGGATCAGAACTTACTAACATACTTTTCTTTTACCATAGTAAGAAATACCAAAAGTGAACATAATTAAAATAATGTTATAGGAATCTGATTAAAAGTCAGTCAAAATCCTACAAATCATTGGAAGAATAGTACTGATAAACAGTTTAATCGTGAGATAACAAAAAATGTATCCTCTACTGAGAAAAGCTGTATTCAGAAAATATTTACTATGAGATTTATTGATCTGTTCTTGAGCTTCCACCAGCATGGCTATCTGTAGTCGTAAGTTATTTAGCTCTTCTTCCATCACTGATAACTTCTGTGTCTGCTCAGGATCTTGTCGTGTAGACACTGAGGATATCATAGTAGAACTCATAGGAGATAAGCTGGGTCGAGATATACATAAATCAGCATCTAACTCATCAAGAGCAGCATCATTTTCAAAGTGTTTCCTTTTCTGTGCTCTGAGAATAAAAGGAATATATTAATACAAGGAAAGTTCAACAATTTAAATCTTAACTCAACCAGCCATTTACCATGTTTACTGATAGGTTCAGACTGGATCTGTGGATCACTCAAAATCAACGTATATATTTTGTTGTTTGTATATCACTGGAAATAAAGTTTCATGTACCCAAAACCATGTCTAAAAGAAATATCTTAAATAAATGGAGAGTGTGTCTATTGCCCCCGCTTGTAAAAATTCATGAGTCAACTTCCACATACAGATGCAGGATTCACGTAGTTAAGACAGTTTTGTGATTTAAAGCATAAGCTTCATAACATTTGGTTGAGGCAAACTAAAGTTAGAGAACGGAAATGACAGATTTAGCAATTTTTATGTTTAAAAACATGCATTACCCATGAACAGTAAAAGTGACGCAACCCAATTTCGAACTTGATATGTGTTTTGTGGTAATTTGCATTGTGTATACGTTATATAATATTTGGTTGAGGCAAACTAAAGTTAGTGAACGGAAACAACAGATTTAGCAATTTTTATGTTTATAAAGGGGTATAACTCATGAACAGTAAAAGTGACACCACCCAATTTTGAAGTTGATCTGTGTTTTGTGGTAATATGCATTGTGTATAAGTTTTATAATATTTGGTTGAGGCAAACTTAAGTTAGAGAACGGAAACCAATTTTGGGGACGTTCGGGATGGACAGACAGGAAAGACGGACATTGGTAACACTTAATGCCCCCTTCGCTATGGTGGGGTCATACAAATACAACTATTTTAATAGCCTGTCTTAACAAAAACTTGACACAATATTTAATAGAAGCCAGCTTAGAGGTGTGGGAGATTTTCTTTTTGAAAAAGACCCTTAAACAACTTTCACTGTTGAGCATGGTTGCATTGCTATTCCTTTCAATTTGGGAGATTCACAGAATGCACCCCTCTTGCCTTGATGCAAGCATCCACATCATACCATCACATCTTGTTCCAAAGTATTTTTTTTTATGCTGCCTCATGAGTATTTACTGTATGTCCTTTCGTTCATTCCACATTGAAACATTTATAACAATGTGGAAAATTTCAAAACTTTGATCTATGGAATCTAAATTTTCATGTAATTAACTGTAAGCCAATGATATGAGAATTTCAAAATGTAAATTCAGTATTTTTACAAAGTATAAGTAAACTCAAAGCCGACACATATGCCTCCCATATTTTTTCTACCAAGACAATATCAGCTGTTGATTCCAACTCTGTTTAAACAACATCTAAAAAATAATGCACATCAATAGCTGATGCTCATCATTTGTGTCTACTTATGTCAAAAGTATCTTCTTCCAACTGTATCGTATTCTAAGTTGTTAACCGTTTATCCTTGACTGACAGTGTACCTACCTAATCCTGACACAGTTGTCACCTAACTTGACTTACAGTGTACCTACCTAATCCTGACACAGTTGTCACCTAACTTGACTTACAGTGTACCGGGTACCTACCTAATCCTGACACAGTTGTCACCTAACTTGACTTACAGTGTACCTACCTAATCCTGACACAGTTGTCACCTAACTTGACTTACAGTGTACCTACCTAATCCTGACACAGTTGTCACCTAACTTGACTTACAGTGTACCTACCTAATCCTGACACAGTTGTCACCTAACTTGACTTACAGTGTACCTACCTAATCCTGACACAGTTGTCACCTAACTTGACTTACAGTGTACCTACCTAATCCTGACACAGTTGTCACCTAACTTGACTTACAGTGTACCTACCTAATCCTGACACAGTTGTCACCTAACTTGACTTACAGTGTACCTACCTAATCCTGACACAGTTGTCACCTAACTTGACTTATAGTGTACCTACCTAATCCTGACACAGTTGTCACCTAACTCTTCCTCCACCCAGACAACATCATCATCTGTAGATGTTCCAAGACTTGTCGTTGATATAACAGAATCGTCACTATCACTGTCATACATGTATTTAGGATACCGAGACTGTAACAAGTGATTCTGAAATGAAAGTTTTATGGTCAGGACTTGAACAAAAAATATTGTACTTCCAGTTGAGAAACAAGAAAGGTCATGATGGTTTGTTAATTTACCTTTTTGTCTGAACTGAATCATCATATTTGTGTAGATGTGTGGAATTAAGATAAAAGGAATCAATTTGATCTTAATCTATCTGATTTTGCATCTTTTTTCATCTTATAAATCAAATATAATAAACAGAAATGGATTATTACATTGGGATTTTTATTGTATTATAACTGAAAGTTTTGACATATTTTGCAATTTTGGGTCATCTCTCCATCACTGTAACCATGTCAAATCTCAATAATTTTAAACTGACCAATCTTTTAACAATAGAAACATGGAATTTGATTTTAATTGGATTAATAGCAATTTTAAATAAATATAGATGTTTCATCAGGAATTCATCATTTAGATTTGCACACAACATTCAGGTTTAAAGTAGCTTATTTCCCAATAAAAAGTGACTGCACAGACTCACTGTCAATGACTGTGACAATGCTCCAATACTGCATAGGAATATTAAAGTGCCAATCTGCCTAAGAATCTGGCAGTGGTGAAAACATGACAAACAAAAACCCACTCAACTTTACATTAATTTAGGTTCAGAATGTATAATGGTGCATGAATATAACATTCGTTTCCTTTCCCTGTTCCGGTAATTCAAGATATAATTTGGTTGAAATGCACTAGAAATTAACAATTAAGGGAGATAACTCTGTAATTTGCTATCATTCTAGCCAAAATTTATCTAGATATTTCTCAGACACACAGAAACGAAAGACCTACCATTTCTAACTCAAACTCAAGATGAGGGTAACTTCAAAATAGGGCAGTTATGTCGGTGGGTTTTTTTCGCCCATGTTTTAAATTTTTTCTAAATTGCCTGATTCTTACAAAGACTGGCACTTAAAAAAACAAAACAAACAAAAAGCTTGATTTAATTCTACTTAGTTGTTGTAAAAGCACTTCTGCCCTTGAAGGGCCTTTCATACAAAAATGTGCTTCAGTCAACACTTTTACGTACAAATTAACTACAAAAATTAAACATAAAGATATAGGGCATATGCATATTAGACATCTTGAGGTTTATTCTTTATTTAGTAGTTCCTCTGCCATTTGGCAAGTACTTTTATACTGTCAAGACAACACTATTTCTGTTCATCTTCGTATGAAACAATTTTTAAAAGCTATTTTCTAAGTCAGTACTTACCTGTATTCTTACTCTTTTAACAGGTTTCATTGATATATATGACCCTATGATTCTCATCAAACTTTTGTGTCGTACATCTGATTGTATTTTATTTACTCTGTTGATTGTACGCTGACGAAAGGAAACAACATGATTCCAATTATAGGTGATAGCATGACGAGTTTGATAAAACCTCACTCTTCTCCTAGCATTCAATTCTTCTAATAAAGCTCTCTGTAACATAAAACATGTTCAAAAAGTTGGAATATTTTATTCAACTTACAGTTTTGGTATGATTTTACATGGGCCCATATTAAAAAATAAAAGGAGTAAAATAGGAAAACTAAGTATTACCTTGACATTCGTTTACATGCTTATCATGGCAATTGAATTGACTCTTCTGTAAAGATTAAACACTTATTTATGTTTTCACACAAACGTACTTTATTTTCTGTCAATTTATGTTGTATCTTTGAATGTTGTAAAGCCTTGTATAAAAAAAAACACTCAAGAGTTGCTAGAAAATATTTGCGATTAAAATATTCAAATATGCATCTGACAAAAAGAAAAAAAAAACAGAGAGAAAGGGGAAAATGATGGGATATCTTATTTTGAAGAGATATAATTTCATATACTGAATCAACCCTTTTACCATTTCAAAGCCCTTCTTTCTTTCACATAATTAAAAAGTTGGACTTGAATACATTTACAGTGTTTTTGCAAGTTTATATAGAAATCCAATCAAAATTAGTTTTGAATATTTCTACATTTTGATACAACCCATCTATTTTTTAGTCTGCATAGGGTTTGGGTGTCGGCATAACTGTCCGTATAGACAACTTTCGGAAATGTTTTGCTGAGTTGACTAAAAAAGGAGTCTCCCAACATACTTCATGATCATTTGCTTGTTATGTTGTTATATGAAATTTATTGACCACAACACCACTGTATCATCAGTGTATAGATCTATTTACAGTCAATCATCCCATGTCAACAAACCCATATATTGTATAATTAATACATATATTACCATCCCATGTCAACAAACCCATATATTGTATAATTAATACATATATTACCATCCCATGTCAACAAACCCATATATTGTGTAATTAATACATATATTACCATCCCATGTCAACAAACCCATATATTGTGTAATTAATACATATATTACCATCCCATGTCAACAAACCCATATATTGTATAATTAATACATATATTACCATCCCATGTCAACAAACCCATATATTGTATAATTAATACATATATTACCATCTCATGTCAACAAACCCATATATTGTGTAATTAATACATATATTACCATCCCATGTCAACAAACCCATATATTGTGTAATTAATACATATATTACCATCTCATGTCAACAAACCCATATATTGTGTAATTAATACATATATTACCATCTCATGTCAACAAACCCATATATTGTGTAATTAATACATATATTACCATCTCATGTCAACAAACCCATATATTGTGTAATTAATACATATATTACCATCTCATGTCAACAAACCCATATATTGTGTAATTATTACATATATTACAAATACATTGTTTATCACAATACACCTCATCAATATTTTGTCCAATCCAGGAAAATCAGTTACTTAGACAACTTCCTGTTGAGGTCAAGTGGAGCAAAACAAAGGTCATCAGCAATGAGTTGAGGGGGGAAGTGGACATTTAAAAATTTTGATAGTTTTAGAATCAATTTTTAAAAGACAAATTAAAGTCATTGAAAATGCTTTATTTGATGTGTTTATGATGGTTTAAACATGTCTCTATGAAAAGTTTTATGCACAATACATTGTTTGAACAAGGCCCAGATAGCTTCAACTGGTTTGAAAAGTAGTGTAATTTTAGAATTTATCCGGTAAGGAATAAATTATAAATAGCGATAAGGTGTATATACACCTGTGCATCAATTATCCAATGAAATACATGTAATGAATTAATTACCACATCTTCTGGATCAATTCCAATGTAATCTAAAATCAGTCTCACAACTACCACTAAATCATCAATGATATCCATACTTTACACTGTAAAAATTATCACACTAGTCTTAAATCTGCATGCCTTGAAATACTGAAAATAGAACAAAAGACAAAATGTCAATTTCATAACAGAAGTTACGACATAAAGTGCTTGTATCATTGGTTTTACTGCATGAACAACATGGAAATTTGTATCTGTCTTTTTTTTTTAAATGTTTAAGAATGATTTGCATGATTGGCAGATTGCAAGAGTTTAAAATTGAAATGAAGTTTTTTGGAGTACATGAATGAGAATTTTCCATAGAGTTACAACGTTTCAATTAGTCACCTTTGAATCTTTCTTCTCCTTTCTTGTTGAATATTTTACCAATGTACCCATTTTGATTCACTTCATATTGATATTTGTTCTTTATAAAAAAAATTCAAATATTATAAAGATGTATTTTTTTCACATTTTCAGTTTTTTATGAGGAATTTCTTGGATTTGTCTTTATAGTTTTTTTGTCTCCTTATTTCATTGTTTTTATCATTTCTTCACCCCTCTCCTCTCTCATGTCTCCCTTTACCATGTCATGTTTTTTTCACATACCAACACAATGCTGGCCAGTATTTTCAGTTGTCCAAAAGGTCAGTTCATTAAACATAGCTGGTATGTTAGCTAAATAAAAGGATTTATCTAATGAACGATATAACTGGACTTTTTTGTATTTATTTTACAATCATTGCCTACCCTTCTAGAGCAGTAATAAGTTCTCCCCAAATTTTTATTGAAGTCCCTGTCATCCTTTTTGGGATTCTATGTACAGTGAATTTTCTGATTTAGCTGCCTTCTGCCCCAGCTAAGAGGGGACCAAAACAGAAAATTGCTCTGGACACAGAATCTTTAATCTTCAATCTCTGTCGTGATGACAGAGGAAAATAAAGGGATTGAAGAATGTTGTTCAACCTAAGTTTCTGTGAAGTGGTTCATGGATGGTTTTTGTCTGTTCATCTTTTCTTTTTTTTCATAGTGTAGTCTGTTTTCACTAAATTTATAGTCTTATCTATGATTGTTCTCTTGGTACAAAAAAAAATATCTTCAAACGTCTGCTTTTGTCTTGTCTTTTCGAAAATCCTGCCTTTTAAAGGCACACCGCTGGTTTCTAAGTAAAGGGTGTATTCAACACCTGGTAAAAGTTTAATATACTTTAAAATCTAAACGAGATAATTTAGTTTTTTATAGAGTTATGCCTTTGACTGAGTGTTTGCAAGAATTCCTTTCATTTTATCCCAGAGCAAAACAGTTTTCTACTCATGTATTCTATGAGATGAAGAAAGTATTTAATCCACATTTGCATTGACAGTTGCAGAGCTGTGCACTAGTGGCTGCATGTAAAACTGGTTCAGAATAAATTTCTAATTTTTCTACTATAATTCTAAATTTTACGCAGAGCCTACAATTATCAATTATTTGTGAGAGTTCAAGCAAGTGATGGTTATTTGCCGAGGCAAGACCAGTATCTGAGTGAATGAAATGAACTATTGTTCCCAAGTCCTCTTTGCATAAGAGACGGATAGACGACTTTCAAACGTCTGGTCAGAATTGGGACATTAAATCTGATGCCTGTGTCAAGAGTGCTACACTCTCAGCCAGTTAAGAACCCTTGCAACAACTCTTTGAGAGGTACATAGGTGGCCTGTTGCAAGGCCAAATTTCTGCTCCTATCCAATTTACCATTATTTTCCAGTGGCAGTCCAAAAGTCTACCCTTCATCCCGGTACTCACTTTTTACAGGACCTACCTTTTGTATTTATTGTTAGTTATTTCTTATCTCGAAACATGCATGAATATTTGCCACTGGATGTAAAGCAACCAACAATCAATCAATCAATCAAATTTGTGCATTTTTCCATACATTTGTATTTGGTTGCCAGCTGTCAGATTGCATACAGTATATCTTATCGCTATTTGCGACTATGCAAATAGATCTGTGTATTACTCTCCTAGCTTATAATAATCAAAAGGATATTTCTGCCATAAAAGATCTGTGTATTACTCGCTTGACTTATAAAATAAAAATTGTATCATACAGGATAATGACCACCCAGTCAGTCAGGGGTACTACTTGTACAAGTAATCTTTATTTACTTGAAGAAGTAAATAAAATATACTTATATAAGTTAATTATAATGTTGAATAATCTCCCCTTAATTTTCTCAAAAATTTACTTGTATAAGTAAATTTTTTTTACAATCCCACAAAAATTCTCTAGTTTTGAGATGTAAAAACATGCCTTTAACAATTTTTCTCAGGTTAGCTCATAATTTTTGATTAGAGTTCAATGTTTCACCTCATTAATTCAACAAAGAACCTTATTGTGCAAAGATCTTAAGTATTTGGGCAAGGCCTTCAAAAATTGCCCCTTGGGGGCTTGTAAATGAGCAGTGTTCTGAAGATAACAGACAAATGAGATTTTCATTGTCCATGAAATTACACTTAAATGATTAGTAAAGTCATCTGCAAAGGACAGACAATTAAAAATTCTATTAGAGCAAAGAAGTCCTAAGAATTCAAGAAAAGAAGATAGGATGACTTTTTTACTTGTATAAGTAAAAAAATCTGAATGTCTAAGGGACATAACTAAGCCCAATTTTTTTTTACCTATACAAGTAAATAAAATACACTTGTATAAGTATCCTACAAATTTACTTATATAAGTATATTAATATTTACTTCTTCAAGTAAATAAAAATTACTTGTACAAGTAGTACCCCTGACTGCCAGTACACGAAGTTAGTTTCTTTTGTGGCATCAGACATTTTTTTTATTGACATCAAAATTTTCTGAAAACGTCTATAGATGACTTTCCAAGATTGCGGGACAACTCAGACATTATTATAATTCAACTCAGACTGACTAATAAGTCAACCCCAAGTCTAAAATGACAACTCAGAAAAAGTATTAAAAGAGGATTTGAACTCTATAAATTATTAAATGTTATATTTTACATGACAAGATCATTTGCATGTTGCTGAATTTGCAAAACATATTGTATTATTTTGTTTCATGTGAATTCAAATTTTTACTTATCTTTATCAATTTATTATATAACTTAATCTAAGCAAAAATGTCTAGGTTGAATTTGTTTTATTTATTTGTTGAATTCTATATTAATTATTTCAAAGTAAACTTGGACCGTCTATAATGCCAACTATAACAAAGTATAAACAAAGAGTTAGGGCTATTTATATGATAAAAGGTTACATTACACATAAAAGTATCCTTTGAATCTTGCTGCATTTGAACTGCTGTGCAATAATTGATTTTATGTAGATTTTAATTTGTACTTAATCATGGTGATTCTATATTTAGAATAAAATCTTCATCAATTCATTAAACAAACTTAATTTATCCGTTAATTGAATCCGTTATTCATTATATTTAATTTTGTTTCTAAAATCTCATTTCATTTTACCTAGTCATGACAGTCATAATAATTAAATTAAATTAATTTTGGAAACATTAAGTGGTATGTTATCTGAATTGATTTAACATAATATATATATCTAAATTTATTAAAGAAAAAAATGATCAAATGATTAGAAAAATAATAATAACTCAAGCTAAAATGCATACAAACGTGAAGATCTTTAATATATTATGCATTAGATTGGATAATTTGAAATGAATATGTATAGACAAATTTTTCAAGATCTGACCTAATTATCATGTGCGCTGCCATTAATCTATCACGTGGTGCCGCAGCCATAGCACTAATGATAGATAAGGCTCGTGCTTTAATCACAACAATATCGATCTTCTGTTTACATTCTGTTTTCCACTATTTTCTTTTTCGTTTTGTTATGAAGAGTAAAAATAAATACAAAACAGGTGGTGGGAACTCATGTTCAGTTCATGGTTGTTCCAATAATCGAAAAAAAAAAAACTTTATGGAAGAAATCAATGTGTGAATTACATGGTGAAATGCACGACTATTGTCCCTGTTTAATTCTGGAATGGCGGACAACCAGTTTTCCTGTTGTGACACACAAATGCCTTTCTCTTGGACTTGATGTCCATTAGAGTTCAGATACACTTTTGCATCTATTTCTCCCTGCTGGCCATGTTTAGTGTATTTATTCCCAACAAAATTTGGGTGTAAATGTTCACGTATAAAGTTCGTGCTGTCTTATGTTTCCTTAACTGTCACTTTGTGAGCACTGCTGGCAGTTATTTTTAGTTTTCTACAGTCTTTCCATAATGTGCTTTTGGACTGAAGTGTTGTTGCAGTCTGTAATTTAACTACTTGGGAATCCGTCAGGAACACATATTTAGAAAGAAACTGCACACATTTAGCACATGATGACAAATCATTATGTTCACCATGAACTTGTTCAATACTTTCTTTAGTACGAACTGACGGATTACTTTTAAAACTTTTATTCATGATTGTTCCTTTGATTTCAAATAAAGGTAGCATTGGTGAGGCATTGATGGCTTCTTTAAATTCCTCTTTTGAAACATAAAATGGTGTATCTAGCAGTCCAGGGACACTTGTGTTACCCATCATATTTTCACCAAATTTTGTTTTTTTTCAGCTGAATACTGACAAGTGGGTTCGGTTCAATGTTCCTGGTAGTTCCTCGGTTCCACTTGGCAGTTTCGTCTGTGCAACTCACTCCAGTCATGCTATTTCTCACAGCATACTAGATCTTCCACATTAATGCTCCGACATGACTGCATGAAAGTCCTAAACCAACCATGCACATACACCAGGCTTGTTCCACTGCACCTTCCCTTGTGCACATAACATAGGCATCATTAAGTCTACTCACAGTCTGGGATGATCGTACACTCGCCTTCATAACTATTTTGCTATCTGTTGCATTGAAATACAATATCTTGTCTACATTTCCAATTTGAAAATAATTGTAACTCTGTAAACTCTTAAAGTTTTTCATTTCTTCCCCATCAACTGCCTATGATCTAACCAATTAGTTATAAATGTTACTGTACATTAAATTTGGCCAACTCCTCATATCGTCATTCCAGTCCATTATTTGTTTGAAAATTTCTGGCATTGAACTTTTAACTTCAGTAGACATGATGAACTTCACTTGTTTATATATTTCTCGTTACGATTGAATGCTTTGTTTACGCTTTATCATTACTGTAATGGCGGACGTAATTACAGAGCCAAGCGGCGAAGATTATTACTACGGGTGATAATTGAAAAACGTGTCTATAATTCAGTGTCTTCCCCAGAAAATTTTTCATGCATGGTGGGTCCATGGTGAATTTGCAACGCGGCGTGCGACGCTTCTTTTTCAGAATTAGTTACACTACATAATTTATATGTTTAAAACCATATACCAACATGACCAATCTAATTGTTTTATTATAGGTACAGCAATTCATATAAGTCATGGAACTTTAAAGTATTTATCACAGATGAGAGGAATTAATGAAAGACCTTAAAAAACAATAATAAAAATAATCCAGTCTGCAATAGTTATTTACAAATTAATGTCATGTACACATTATTTTCTTGATATCTTCCTCTGTTTCAACTTTCCAAAGGTCACCACACATTTTTCAAAATCAAAATCTTCCTCCTTTGGTCCTTCAATTGACATATGCATTAAGCAATTCAGCACTTTTTGTCATAGTCTGTTTATCAAAGGTGTTTTAACTCTGTTTAAACATGAAAAACACATTTCACAATCAGCTGTTGAAACTGGCAAGACAAGACCAATTGCTGCATATTTAGACAGACAAAGATACTGTTTTGCGTTGCTTTTGATCTTTTGTGATTCTCGTATTTTCTGTCAGTGATACAGTGGTACTGGTCATTGCTGGTAGGGTTTCTTGTGTCTGTTGGTACATGTTGACTTTCAGTGCATTCTGGTTCAGGTTGAATTTCGACTTCAGGGCTTTCCTCATGGTGATGATTTTCATCTGTCTGACTAATATTTGATGAAGGAGTAGACTTCTCTAACCAACTTGTCAAAAAAGTTGGGCCAGTAAGGCGACGTTTCTTTGATGGTTGCTTGGACATGGTTGTTACACAGTGGGTTGTTAAAATGATGATTGTTCTTCGAATTTTGCTGATAGAATGGCATCAACAGCAAGTTGTTAAACTTTGAATATCATCATTGCTTCACAGAGATTTTACAGGAAACAATAAAAAAAAAGTTTATTTGCGTTAATTACAGAAGTCGTCAATGAAGAATACCTGACATACGGACATACAGATGACATATTTGGCAATTACCTGTTTGGAAGCTAAGCTGACATTTTATTTCATGACAATTAACTATTTTATTAAATACATCCGTGTCCGATTTATTTATAACGCTTCATAATTGTGAAAATCCTATCTTGCCGAAGTGAAAGAAATTTAGCCCCACTTGTGTAAAAAATGGGAAATGAATCTGCTACACTTAAGCTTGTGACCCATTGATATAAAAATAGCACAACACAAGTTTATTAAAAACAATATTTCCGTAAATAACTTCTATCAAATCTTTTAAATATTTCATAAGACATTTCTTTTTCTCGACCCAGTGGGGGTGATGTGTATTCTTTGATATAATCAATCAACCGCAACTATCTAAAAATAACTGATTGTTGTGACCAATCAAAAAATAATTCATCGATGTGAATATTGCTGAGGAAATAACTGGGAAACTTTATTAAAAAAATGTTTTGTCCATTCCCCGGTAAAATTACGTTAGTTTTACTTTATAATACCAGAGTCTATACCAAATTTTAAATTTCTACTTTTTAAAGATCAGTTAAATAAGGATGTCAAACACCCGTTTTAAAGGTGAAATTTATACTGGAAAAGGTTAAACTTTTTATTTAGCACTGAAAGATATGCATTGGAGATTAATCTGACTATTTATTTATCAGCTAACTTGCAACTTCTATTATGTAACCGAAGTCTCGATGTATAACCAACTTATCAAGAAGGTTGTAAAATCCCAGCACACGCGGCGTGATGCATCCAATTATCAGTCGGATGAGTTTAAAACACCTGTGGAGTGTTGTCACTTGTCACTTCACTTTCAAAATATTGATAATAAATATTTTACACATTTATAATTTTCACACTAGCAGGATGCAATGCGGCAATGATGAAAGCATGGCGGTCGAAATTTATGCGTAGCGGTACCGCAATGCTCGAAGAGCCTAGGGAAAACATAATATTTGATAGCAAATTCTTAGATGGTCGGATATGTCTTTTTTTGTAGATGGTCCAAGTTGTCTCAAGGCTGAGTTGTCTTAAGCTTGCACCCCTTTGGATTCTTGCATTTTCCCGTAAATGTCCTATGTCACAATCATGACAATGCTTATGTTATTAAGTCACAGTAAGAACTGATTGTTCAATGACATCTTTTACTCCGATTGACCTGAGGTCAACCTGTGTAACTCATTCATAAAAAACAACTAAAAAATTGGTGTATTATGTCCAATAAGGCAAACAAATAGGGATAAAGTGTATTGGAGAATATACATTGTATGTGTAAAAGATAAATTAGTCCTTGTAAAATGTGTCCGGGCGGATTTATTACTAGTATGAAAAGGCCATGGTTACAGAATTTACTAGTATATTTATACCAGTTAGGAGTTGATACTTGCTGGGGAGACTTGAATGTTTTTTGTTGGATTTCTAGAATATTGCCAAAGCACTGTGTAATTAACCAGTTTTGTAGTAATATGTTGATATTAATGAAATACTTTTGTAGCAGACATACATGGTAATCAACATGAATAGAATAGAATAGAATAGAAAAAAATTATTTTAAGCCGGGTTTACATGAAACATTACATACATAAGCTCTGTAGAGCTTTTTGCCGACATTAATAACAATAACAACACATACAATATTAAGACATATAAAACATACACAACTCATGCACAACAGACATACAATGTAAGACAGCTATATTGCATAAGCAAAAAATATATAAAAGCAAAGCACAAACAAGTAATTTACTAAGCCAGATTATAAGCACATGCAAAGCAGACGAAATAAATAAAGCAAAACTAGTTCTAAAAGCTGCATGGAAAACTCAACATAAAAATCAATACATTAAGATCTGCAGGAGCCACATCTGCATGAGTTGCCATTCCAGTTGTTGATCATACTTTAACTGTGCACGGATCACGTCAGGCAGCTCATTCCAGAGTGTAGCTCCAGCATACCTTAATACACCTTATCGCTATTTGTTCGCCATTACTGGACATCACAAAAGTTCCTGTAAAATTTTGACGTCATAATAGAAAATATCTGACGCCACAATGGAAAAGTGATTGTTGTATGACGTCAAAAGTTCAAGCGGGACAGATTTCCAAATAGTGATAAGGTGTATGAATAAAGACCATAATATCATAATTTTTGGTCAAAAAGGTATCAACTGCTTTTCTGACATAACTTTTCTTTCTTTTTTTTTTTAATTTTGATGGTGATTCATCAATTTATAGATTGAAGGTAAGCTGTATTTAACTAATAATATGACAATGATCTGATATTTCAGAGAGGAACTTGATCATGTTAGCACTGGCAGAGCCAGAGGAACTGTGTAGTGTTACACTAATTTGCTTATGGGAAACTTCATTACATTTCGAAAAAATAATAATTACAAAATAAAACTCATAGATCATGTATGGAAAATGTGATGACTATTACGTACAGTAGATTAAAACCAGCGGAATATCAGTAAAACAGGCTAAATTGATAATATTGTGTCGCCGCCATTCATTCGAACTTCACTTCCTGTCAAACGTTTGTCCAATCGGAATTAATTTTACATTCTTTCGCCAATCAAATTAGAGCTAATATACGTGGGAATTTCAATATTAAAAACGATACACAAAAAGGCTGAGCCAAGAATTTTTTGAAAATGCAAGAAAATCGAGGATGTATGTGTTGATTTAAACCACACATTTTTAGCATGAAATTTCACTGTGTAATAGTCCTGCATTTACTTTAGTTGATCCTGAGACTTCTATAACAAATGTGTTATAGTAGTCTCAGGTTGATAGCGATACCGAATTAACCCTAACCCTAAAAGTTAATCAATATGACAATAATAGATTAGGCTAATACCAACCCTTGGATGCACATTATAGATCTAGCCCTAAAACCTAACCCTGAAGTACAAGGTCCCCTTAAGTGTAAGAGTCCCAGTACTTGGGTTTTATGATCAGTTTACCCACAGGAATCGGAAATTCTATCAATAAAGTTCTGTAAATAATAAAGTCGACTATCAATAGAGCTTCTCGTAGAGAAGCAAGAAGCTCTATTGATAGTCAACTTTATTATTTACAGAATTTTATTGATAGAATTTCCGATTCCTGTGGTTTACCATAGCCCTGTTGACATGGGGTAACTATCAAATGTGGGGGAATCGCATCAAAAGATGTTGTTGAATCAAAAGTACACCTTTTTTGGCTAATGACTGTTTATTGAATTGGCCAATAAGATCAAAAGAAGACCACCTGAAACTTCAAGAAGACCTCAAACATCTAGAATCATGGGTGAAGAAGTGGGGCATCATACTTCTCAAACTAGACAAGCAGTACTAAAATAAACGTACCTTGGAACAGAGACATATATACACATATGTCTCTGCTTGGAATTATGATTTCAGAAGATTTTTAAAATGGAACACCCACAATAATAATATCTGCAACATGGCCAACATTAGGCTTTCTCCGTAGAAATTTACGACTGTGTTCATCATCTTGCAGGAAAAACACCTACATTTCACTTGTGAGATTGACTCAAGTATGGACCAATGGATTGTAATTGAGGACCCTTACATGAAAGATCACATAAAAAAATGGACTGAACGAATACAACAAAGGGGTGTCAGCTTCATCAGCAGAAATAAACTCAAGAGAAGAAGGGACTATTCGATTACTGGGTAATCTGGAACTCCAGACACTCCGGAACATAGGAGAGAGCTAAGACTGACATTCCTCTTCAAAATAGCTGGGGGCTGGTCCAAGCGATTGATCCACCACACTATCTTACTGAAAAAAAAAAGTGACGAATTAGGTCGACAGTTAAATTACATGACTATAAAGTGAACAATTGAGTTCAGAATATACAAACAAACAGTTATAAGTTTATAATAGTGCCGTAAAACTATTGATACAAACAGTGAAATTAACAAGCAATCACTTTTTCCTAGAACTATTATTGAGTGGTACCAGCTGGAAGAACACCGAAGTTGTGGCTAAAAGCCCAATGCCTTCAAATGGGCCTTCAAAATTCAGTAAGCTACATGTGCTCTTATTTCTGTTATTTATATACCAAAGCTTTTGTGAACTACAACATATTTTTCACAGACAGATATTTGCTTTGTGACTACAAATTTTTCCAGGAAAATGCACTAATTGAAAGATTGTGTATAGACCTTAAAACTCTATTTGGGAACCTGCTACACTTAACTTGAGAATTTGCAACAATCACTTTTCTTTTCTCCTTTTTCAGCTCACCTGGTCGAAAAGCCTAATTGTACATGTTGTACGTTTTCTTGCAATATAGGTTAATTAAATTCTCTTTCAATAAAAGTAACTCGAATGAAGTTCTTTTTTAGACCTTTTTCTCCTGTTTGTGAGTTTACATTGTCAGTGAATTTATATAATATTTATTGATGTGTATAAAATTGACATAATTTTAAATATTTGTAGATAAATCCTTGTCTGCAGATGCATTGACTTCCCTGAAGACTATGGCAAGTGATTCTAAGAAGAGAGGTTTCATAGTAAAGGTAAGGTTGGAAAATTTTACATTTAATTTCTTTATATTTCATTGATGAGATGAATAAAGATTGACCTAATTCATGTTAATTGTTAAGTTTCTACTTATCCTGCTGCCTAACTTAGGAGATGATGAGGATATACACATGAGGAAGTAAGCCGATATTGTACTATCTTATATAGGATTCATAAAAAATGTTATCTGGCAACCTGAAATAATATTCGGTAAAAATGAAATCTGCTTTCCAAATATTAACAATGATTTACTGACTTAGATAATTTATTTTGACTCATGCAAAGTTGTTCTGAGCACTTTTTGAAGATCATCAGTAAATTGTTTATAATATACATTGTACATGTTATGTACTGTAGGTTTATTTTTTTTTAAATTTTGTCGAAAGGTAGCGGTCTCATTGAGAGTATTTAGACATTGCAGTCTTATTGCATACCCCACATCTCATTTTATTTACTATGTAAAGGAATCACGATAAATACATAAAAATACCTTTCTTTTGTGAAGGTTTATCTTTGTTTATAAAGCAAACATTGTTCACAAAATCGTTGCAAGGTTATTTCTCCCAGAGAATATTTTGAGTTTTCTTGTAAAATCAGAAAAATTGTCTCTAAAAACCAACTGAAGCCTGGTGATATGAGTAGGAGCAAAGCCTGGTCCACTTGATGTCAGAATAATATGTCTGGGAAGGGTGATATGTCTTGCTGAGGACTGTTACCATGTGAACTGGCCTTTTTAAAAATTTGGCCTAGTGTTTTAGTCTAGTTCAAAGCAGGGTTTATATTCATATCACATGATCATGTTCTCTTTCTGAATATGCATTTCATTTGCCACTGGATTTGAAACAGCAATCTATCCACTCATCCATCCAAAGGAGAGAGAAAAATGCAAAAAAAAACTTAAATGTAATTTTCTTCAGTAAAACTGTATCATATATATGCCCTTATGTTAATTTTCTTTTATATGCTGTTGATGAACCTTTCTTACTGCATTGGTTTCCTTAAGATGATAATTCAATTGCTGTTTCTTGCTATACATAATAACATGTTGTTTCCTTTATTAAATATCATGCTAACAATGTAATTTATTTTTTAGGATGGAACATTTTTAGGAGGACTTGTTGTGGTATTATCTAATCCTGATGTAAAAATTGTCACAACAGCTCTAGAGGTATTAACATATATAATGTTCAATTTAAAGGATATTTTTTAAGATCAACTAAGTGCAGACATAGTGTAATTAGAATTTGCCTGATTATGGTGATAGTGATATACAGTAGTGTCCGGTATCTGATATTTTTTAGGAAATGAGAAACTTCTCAAAATTGATTTGTCAGTGAATCGATTTATATTAAATTTGATACAATTTGTACATAAGCAGAAATACATACGATCAAAGCCTTATGTGGACAGATTTACCGGACTGCATCGTACTACACCATCTGTGACTATATGTAGTGACTGGCCACTGCATATAATGACTGTTTACATAGATTACAATGAAACATCCTGTTTATTCCACAATAACATTTAGGGCTTCCCACTTTAAAAAATCCAAAATCTCAAGTGTTAATACTGTACTATACAGTACCAAGATATAGTGATAGTGGAAATGTGTTATATGCCTAACAATTTTAATATAATATCACATACTTTACAATACAAAAAATTGTATTTTTTAACATTATGTAGTTTTTTTAACAAACGAAAAGATATGTATAATGTTCTAAAAAAGGAGGAAAGAAATGATTTTGTAAATTTTTGTCCCGAACATGTGTTGAATGCTTTTATCTGTTATAACAACTTATTTTATTCATTTCATGTACTTGGTGTTATTCGTTGGATACATGATTTCTGGGATTTCGTGGGCCTTGGTAAACCACAAATAAAATGTTGAACAAAGACCAATTTTCTATAGGATAATCTTGTGTGCAGACTTTGGCAAAACCATGAACCCAAATATCAATGAATGTACAATTTTTCCTCAATCCTCATAAGTGAATATCCATAAAAATAACTGAATCCACAGCACATATAAAAAATTTAAATTATGCAGTAGCAATGATTTTCAGCGTACTATCTACTTGTTATTGCAGACATTAATCCTTCTGGCTGAAGTGTCAGAGTACAGACCAACACTATCAACATTTATTGGTTTGAATGAACAAGTAGAGATCCTACTAAACAGGTAAGTTCACTGTGCAACAATTGTTATGAAGGTTAATAGTTCATTAGAAGGTCATGTAAAGGAGAAGGTGACTGGATCCTATTGAAATGATTAAAAAACAGATTATGTTGATTCATGTTATTTTTAAGACATAAATCTCAGGTTTCAAGGAAGTTCCGTTGTTTTCAGGATTGGGGAAATGAAAGGAAATAAGTATGTCTTGATTTATAAGCATGAAGGTACTATCCATCTATTTCATTTATAGGTCTATGTATGATTAGAAGAGCATATTGGATACAGAGTTGTAAAAAAATTATAAGCAATCTTAAATTTGAATAATAAGTGTTTGTACTAAAAACACTTCTGTTTTATCCTCATCAATTTTTTTGTAGAGAAAATGAAAATATTGCTAACCTTGCAGAAAGATTGTATGATTTATTAACACAGAAACCAGAGAAACATGCACCATTAAAAGATTCATTTAATTCATCAGGAACTAAATCAAGGTAAGAAGATAAAAGTCCTGTCTTTTTGTCCTTCTATCATGGATGGTTCTTTAAAACAGAGGATGTTCATTTCTTAATCTGTTTTCCTACAAGAGATAAATTGTTAAAATTGTTGCAGCATCTACTCTAAAAAGTGAAAGCTGTTTAAATCAAACTTTCTTCAGGTTCCTGAATCAAACTCTTTGGTCTCAACAATTTCACTTTGACTGTTAACAATAATAATTAGGTAAATTTTGTTCCTGGAGAATTGAGAGGTCTTTCCTTTCATAAATTAAACCAAAGGTAAATGAAAAGTGTTGGAATATGCTTTCTTGCAAAGAAACTTTAAGTGATCAAATCAAAACCTCCCCTTTCAAGGTTGGTAAAATTCCAAAACACTACTAAGGCATTTATTATAGTTCAATAGTCAATGACCGCCTTGGTAGTCTCTTGGTAGCGTGTTTGCCTCAATTGCAGGAAGTCATGGGTTTGAACCTCGGCCAGGTCAAACCAAAGACTTTAAAATTGGTATTTGCTGCTTCTCTGCTAAGCACACGGCATTAAGGAGTAAGAGCAAAGACTGGTCAGCTCGGAGTCCGAATAATGAGTCCGGGTAAGGTGACATGTCTTCCTGCAGAATGAACTAGCACTTTAAAATCCGGCTCAGCATCTTGGTCTAGTACAAAGGAGGGTTAATATTCATGTTACATTAACATGTTCTCGTCCAGAATATTAATTTGCCGCTGGAGTTTCTTAGGTCATACTGTGGACTCATTATTATTTATGGGATACCAGTTTTGGTGGATTTGGTAGGTATATGATAGATAACATTTGGTAGGTATATGATAACATTTGGTAGGTTTATGATAACATTTGGTAGGTTTATGATAACATTTGGTAGGTATATGATAAAATTTGGTAGATTTATGATAACATTTGGTAGGTATTTGTAAATGTTCAACAAAGTACACGTTTTCTAAATGCATTTACACAGACTTTAACGAATCCAAGAAATCTAATATCCACAAAAATACAAGTTTTCCTCAATACACGAAAATTTGTATCCATGAAAATAAATGAATACAAAGTAATTAGAAAAATATGCAAGATATTTCAGCCTGTGCACTCCTGCTCAGATGTAGTTAGTCAATTAATAGGAATTGAAGACCTATACCAATATTTTTATTTTTTTTTAAAAAGACAGGAAATAATTGTTTGTGTACATTCTTTTGAAAATAGAAGGATTACTGAATTAGAAGATGCAATTAAATGGAAGCCACTTTTTGTCCTGCCTGTAAGACATAAAGATGCTAAGCACTGGTGTAAAATATTTTTATAAAGCTTTATATTTAAGAAGGAAGAAGACCTGGATACTTCATTTCTTGTATAATCTTAAGTTGTCTTCTCCATTGTCCTTGACCTCATTTTCATGTTTCAGTGACTGCTTAAAAACTGTATGTTTTTCTTTATCGTATGAATTTCTCACTTATGGGTATTGAGATCCTTGCAAGGTCTACATGTCTGTCAAACACGGTTCACATGGCCATGACCTAATTTCATGGAACTGTGATCAAGGTTAAGTTTTTGTGGTCAGGTCCATATCTCGTATACTATAAGTAATTGGTCAACAAAATTTGGTTTATGAAATGATTGTAAGATGTGCATGCCATTTAGCGAGGTTCAACTAACACTGGTCAAAGTTTAGTTTTATGGGTAATGGCCTTTTCTCAGATACTAGCAAAAGGTAAAATACAAAATGTATATTTGGCATATTGAATGATTATTAGGTTTACATGTTTGTCTTACTTATTTCATCTGACTTTGAACTCATTTTTATGGTTCATGTCTGTTTAATCGGATACTTTTTTAGCAATAGGTTAACCATATTTAGTGTATGTAATGATTGTAAAGTGTACATGTCCATATAATATTTAACTTTGATTTCATTTTAATTTATCATTAATAATGTCAAGTTTATGTGATACTTGTAGTTAAAACCTTTATCTTAAAACTTTCAACAAATTAATATTGGAATACAATCTATATTTCATTACAACAAAAATAAATATCAATGAACTATCAGTCATGAACAAAACTGTGAGAACTAATATGTCGACATATATGTATAATATATCTTTTCAGGCAAGGATCAAGTAAAAACAAAAGTGTAAATGGTGGCAGGACAAAGCATATAATATTACAGATACGAGGACTTGTAGTCAAGGTAAGTAAGGGGTTAAAACTTTATCAAGTGGTCAAGTTAAACGGTGTTATATTCCTTTATGAATTAAAGGAGATAAGGGCTATACATCAATGTGACAGCAACTCAATGAAACTATTAACCCAAAAGGACATCTAGATATTAAATAAAGAGACAAGTTATCAAGGATGCTTGTGTTACATAAAGTGGATCGACATATGATAAGACTTGTAGTCAAAGTTGTTTATTTGTTAGCAGTGAAAAATGAGATAATGAGGACTTTTTGTCAAGGTTGCTTGTTGCAATTCAGTGAATCATCAGATCACAATATGTCAGGGTTAATAGGGAATAATTTGCTATAAAGTGACCTAGCTAAAAGGGAGGCAACCAAACTACTAAAAATTAAGATGTTGCCTTTTATCAAGATTTAAAAGAAATCTTAAACAATTTACAAAATATTTGTCTTTCAGAATGACAAAGATGTTGTAATGAGATTGCTACTGCATGTTAAAGGAGTTGTTAGTATAACCTTTGACCTAAATCAGAAGAGATGTATAATGAGAACAAAACAAGATGTCAAACCAGAGGTAGGATTTCAAAATGAAGTACAAACTGACATCCAAATATCATCAATCATAATTCTTTACCATAAAAATGTAGTTATTAAGAAGTACTTTTGGTCAACTATTATTATTTTGCCTACTGTTGCATCAGTTTTTCAAAGAATTTCAAGAAAATTAAGAGGTGGTCTCCTAAGTCATACTGAAATTAATTTTCATTGTTTGGTGTTCAATTGTAAGACATACTTTTAAGTCATGTCCACTTATAGCAATGCAAATAATGCATGAAATAGTCCAACAAATAGTTTGTCTGCTAACATGCAGACAAGACATAACTTTTACTTACAATTTTATTCATTAATAGTACTGAGAATGTATAATCTGCATCTGAAGAATGATGACTTTGTTGTTAAAGAAATCTAATACATTTTACACTGTATCTATAGAATAATCTATTGAAATTAGATCCCTCCTATATTGACCATAATTTTGAAAAACTAAATTTAAATTTGTAGATTAATATTTATTCTTACTTGTTAAAATAGACTTTAAATGTAAGAATAACATAACTTGTTCAAATTCATTTTGATTTAAATCAGTATATTATAATTATCAATACTTCATGCAAGTATCTTTTTTAACTAAGAACGCAAAAGAGATGGTATAATTATAGGGTCAAAATGACATTAAAACTATATTTATTTAAAAATTTCTACAATAAGTAGAAATAATAAGGGCTTTTCCAGCATTAATTTAATTGGGGTGGGGGGGGGGGGGGGGGTTTGGATAGCACTTTCACTAAAATTTGATGGGTGGTGGTTATTTTAGACAGATAGCAATAGTACTTATATAAAATTATTACTTAAAATTTTATGCATGGGAGGGTTAAATTAAAAGTGCCTTTTCCTTTTGTCTAATAAGAAACATGTGTTTTTGAGTTAGACATTTTTAAGACTGACTTTTTATATAGAGTATTATAAAGCTAGTGTAAATTTCTGTTTCCAGACTTTAGCCCAAGCTGTAGCAAAGTCACAAACCATGACAGCCCAACAAGTGGTTAGAGATGAAAATGGAGAGGAGGTACTGTACTCAATATTATTATTAAATTTATATGAAAGTTGGTCTATGTATATTTTGTTAACAATGAAATTTACACATTTTACATTCAAAACTGATTAAAAATTTCGATAGAGCTGTTTTAAATTTTATTATTCAGTTTATACAGACAAATTAAGGATCTGTTTAAATCTTGATGCTTCTTATTTTATTGCCTAAAAATTAAAGCCTTATGTTTCCTTTCTGTATTTTCTAGAGGATATGTTCTGGATTGTTAATTTTTTTTATCATATCTTTATTTTGATGTTTCTCTTCTTTAACTCCTTAAAACCCAATACTGTCTCATTTCTGTTTATGAAACTCAGAGCCATATTTGCATTCATTTAGAAAATCTTTCTCTCTCTTGTTAAATTTTTAACTTTTTTGGCAATTCTCGGCTATTGTTTAGAAGGTAGGATAAAAGTGTAAAATGCTGAATTATCTACGTGGCAAGTTTTATCTACCCTCCAAAAAAATGGATTTCCTTATATGTAAAATTTTGTGTTTTTCGGTAGAGTTTTTTATGCCTATATAAAGATTTTACAGTATCAATCTTCATACCCTTTGTCAGTATCTTGTTACTTATAATGTTGTTATAATCATATTTTTTAAGTGTATACAATATTTTTTTACAGAAACTTATAGCATTTGGTTCCAACATGAGAGACGTGGACAAGGAGAATACAACATTGCCAGATTATCTACCAGAGGATGTAGACAGTCCAAAAGCTCACACTAAACCTCTAGCAAGAAATAAAGCTGATAACAAAAGGGAAGGTGGTTGGCTTAGTTCTGCTGCAACTTTCATAACAAATTCATTTTACTGGTGAATTTTGTATAATTTGAACAATCTCAACAGGGCAGCAGTATAAGAACAATGAGTAGGAAATAGAAGTCTTGACTGATTTTATATCTGGAATAGGTGCAAGAAATGCTAGTGTATATTAATTAAAAGATGACAGATGTGTTTCAATATAGATTTATGTATGTCACTATCAAAAACCTATTCAATCATAAATGTACATGTTTTACAGAAGTTTACTGTAAACCCTGCTTAATCATATGAGATGAAAATAAGAATGAAAGATGAAAGTACAGGTTTATTACTAATTTAAAATTTATTAGTCACCTTTTGTTTTCTTTTGCTGTTTTACTGTTACTTTCTTACTCTTCATTTCTTTTTTTCTGTTTCTTTACTCTTATTATAGTTTGATGAATTATTTTAATTGTTTTATTTGTTTTAATTGTACAAAATGAATAAATTTACTTTGTACATTGACATGCTTACTTTTCATTGTTTCTGATTACCAAAAATATTTTATAGAAACACATTTGTTGTTTAATTGATACTTAAATTTTGCATTTGTAAGAAGGTTTCTCTGGTTATTATACCCCCTTAAAGATGAGGGGAATATAGTGGTGCTAACATCCGTCATTTAGTCTGTCTGTCTGTCAAAGGTTTGGTTTTCATATGATTGTTAAAGTACCACATAACCAAATCTTAGGAAATTTAAACACAATGTCATGAACCATAAAATGCTTTAAAAAATTTAATTTTCATAGTTTTGACATTAACCGTTCAAGAGTTATGTCCTTAGTTACTTTAAAAATTGGTATTTTTATTTGGTTTCAGGATGATAATTAAAATACCACATGACCAAATCTTTTGAAATTTGAACACAATATTATTGATGATAGATACAGGTCAAGTTTGATTTTGACAATTACTGATCAAGAGTTAAACCCCATAACTAGTTACCTAAAAATTTTGATTGTTTTTTGTTTGGTTTTCAGGTGATTATGAGGGTTTAATTTACCGGTTTATTCCTGGTGTCATAATTTTAGGGACCATGTATAAGTTACCCCTTAGTAGTGGTATTGTTTATTATTTATTTAAAACTTGATATTACTGGAATCAAAATTTTCTAAAGTTTATAATGAAATAAAAATAAAGTATAATTTTTTAACATAATAAAAACAGTTCTACCTATAGAAGATGAAAACAAAAATTGCCCCATCTCAACATAAAAAACCTGAAATCAGGTCCTGTGTAAACCAATGTAGGCATGATACAAACATATTCCAGATATTCAAAACTGTATGACTTTCATAGGTTTTTACCTAGTCTTTTGAAAATGTCTGGCTTCAGGGTATGTTCTCCTGCAAAAAAGGATGTTTACAGTGTTGTCTCCCCTTAAAACAAGTATATCTATCATTTTTAAGATATCTTGTAAACGTGTATTTTGTTCTCTAATCTTGTGCTTTATCCAATATAAAAATTAAAAAATAATGAATTCAATACTAAGCTACTAAGCAAGCGTGTATTGGTATGTTTACTTACATAGACAGGTATCTTTGACATCCCCATACTTACATAGACAGGTATCTTTGACATCCCAATACTGGCTCAAGAATCACAATGTTTTGTTGTTAAACAGAGTCCCCAGTATTGACAGTGCATTATTTTTTTTAAATTTTATTCCGTACACCTTAATCCATCTTCTCATGCTCCATGTACAAAACAGAAGCAAAAAGGGGAGGTGGGGGGGGTCCACACTGTAAAAAATTTGTTTGGGTCATGAGTTCTAAGGCTTGATATATTAACTAGTTAGTATACTATTCCCAGGGTTTTTTTTTACATTATTTGCATCTATTGTTCTTCAGAAATGCACTTTTAGATTAACTCAGTTCTTGGATGAATGTGTATTTTTGGCATTCCACTATTTTTGTTTTTAATAGTTCTTCATGTTGGTAAAAATAGAAACTCAAATCCACTGGGATCATGTTAGTTACAATATACAGGTTATTCAGAAAATAAAATAAGAGTCTATAGAAAACAACCATGCGGCAAATTAACAAAATATCCAACAACAACACTGCAAAAACAACAAAATTTATAAAAGCCTTTATTAAGATTTGTGCAATGATATTGATAAAAGATAAAATGAAATCGTATTGACAGATATTTCATCACAACAAATGGCCTTTATATACTAAATTGTAAACTATTTCATAATGAAACAATTCAGAACATGTATAAATAATCTTGCATATTAAATAATCTTACATATTTAATATGTAACTGTAGATTTGAGACTATGAAGTACTAGATACAAGGGTTCTAAATTAGCTTTGTAGTGTAGACTCTATAATGATAAAAACATACATTTTTATATAACTATATCAAAGATATAATTTAACCAGGTAAATCATATCTGAGATATGATATTACATGATTGTTTTTATATACCTAAACAAACTTTTAAGATTATTTTAGTGGAAGGGGTAAAACAATTAGCAAGACAAGGACACTGCTATATACAGGCTTATACATATGAAAAAGCAAGTGCAACACCGAATGTAAGCCTTAAATAAAGAAGTCAATGGTATACACACTTTATAGTAAATATAGTATAAAGGATTTTATATGGCAATATAACAATATTTTGTAATTTAATTGATGAGCAGACAAATCCTGACCTCACAATCAACATTTTTTTCTATCCCAAGGTCTCCAGATAAAAGACTGATAGGAGACAAATTCATTCACTGTATAAAATGATGGCTTAAAGTATAAGGCCATTTATTTGCAAACTTTCGTACTACCAAAAACTACAACTTACTTTCTACAAGATAAGTATTGCAGGCATTTCATTCATATCGTGTTTTTTTTCTCGATTTTATCAAGTGAAACTGATTGGTTATATGTATTGCAAGAAAGCTGTTTAGGGACTAGGGACAAAAGGCAAATAAAATTTGAGGCCAATACCAGACTGAGACTCTGTCAGTTTAAGTTTCTTTGTTTATAGTCAAGATTTAGTAATGTTTTCACTTCTTTCAATCTCGTCCGAAGCCACGGTAATATGAATTCCATGGTACACGAATCAACTTATGTACCATTATTGTTAGGAGTGTTATCTAACTACATTTTTTTTCATCTTTAATTTGATTTTTTTTAGCCAAAACGTAAATATGTAAATCATGTGCACACTTGACTGAATCTTGATAAATGGATGGATTGCTGTTTAACGTCCAGTAGCAAATACAACATGCATAAACATTGATGTGGTATGATTATATGAACCCCGCTCTAGACTAGACAAATGCACGCCGAGTCGTATTTTAAATGAGCTGGATCACATAGTTTCAGTCTTCAGGAAATCACCCTACCCGGACACACTATTATGACTCAGAGCCGATCAATATTTGCTCCTACTCTTACTTGCCGCACATAGCAGAGAGGCAGGACATCTCAATTTTCAAGTCTTCGTCTGACGCGATGCCTGTATCGAGAACCAATAAATTAAAAAAAAATAAGTATTTATGACATGCCTTATGACAAAGCGTAATTTATATAATACTGTTAAGTATAAAGTATTAAGTTCACATTGCATTTATTTTGAATGGAGATGTTTTAGGCAGTATGTTTAATGTTGTGTACACTCTTCGAGCAGAAAAAAGTGGCCAACCATATTTGTGTCTCATTTCAAAGTCATTTTCAAACTTAATGTTGGGATATCAATAATTGTTTAAATTAATCGATTTTACTGTTTCTCCATACATATTAAAACGACACACCAACTCGAGGAACCAATTATCTTCTAACATCTAGAAATGCCCTTTGACCCTATTATCCATTGACATTCTCGTTATATGTCATTTTTCATTTCATGTTAAATGTTGAAACTGATATTATAAAATTATCCACTTAATCTGTTATTCCGTTTGTATTGTGACCACTCGTTAGTTGGTAGATTGTAATACCGATTTAGTGCCAGGATGATAATATAAAAAAAAATCAAGTTGAGATTTGTGAAACTAAGAAATGACATCAAGGAACAACCATTAGTATTTTTTAACAAGTAGTATTTAAAAATACTAGGTTACTGATATGCGGCAAGATATCATATGATATTTGCACACTGCTGTACATTATCAACAAATTGTTACGTCGCTATCTGTAAAATGTATTTATATACCACAGATCTTCTATCAACACTAATGAACATTAATCTTGGAGGATAAGACGTATAGTACATCGAACGTGGCAAGGTAAGTTCACTCACATTCATAGACTTTTTATATTTATTAGATTGCCTTATACTGTAAACATGCACTGACCGTGTACATGGTGTGTACAAGATTTCAAGTGCAATGACTTCCTTTTCAAGTATATAATATGTTGTTTAGTAAAAGGAGGAAACGAAAAGTACTTGAGAACAATCTAAATAATATGATATAAATGTTTGTATAATCCAGAAAGTTGGCACAAATAATTAAATGACTCTTTGTAAAGCACCTGTTCCCTCATCCCCATTACGATTTCAGATTTAATTTTCGAGGACTTTTAGTATCGTACTCCTAGGGCTACTGGCGTAGCAGCTGTCACACGTTTTACACCATATATACTCTAATATTGAGTGGTTAATTATGGCATTTCATATATTAATTTCCTTTAAACTATCAACTAGCATGTGCTAGTCACACGTCAGTTAAAGTTTACACGGACGAACATATAAGCTAAAGTGTGACTTTCAAATTGTCTGGGATTAGTATACTATTAATATTTTAGGTCTTAGGCTCCATGTATTGTGTTCAAACATCACACGCATGTAGCCTACTTTAACTCCATATATAATAGATCATTAGAACAACCCGTATATAGGAGGAAGACTAAATAATACAATAATATGCATCGCTGCACGTTTATCCGTGTGAAGTATAGAATGTAACTTTTATTTTCGACCGCAATTGACGTATAAAATTTCTGTAAATAATTGATCGCTTAAAATATATTGATACAAAATCAATGATTTTGAAATTAAAATGATCCAGAAACTCTAAGGAAGTAGGAACATTATCCTTTTTTTTCTTTCGTGGCTCGCATGGTCAAAATCCGCAAGTTGTTGAAACCAATTACCTAGAATTTGAATATTGAAGAATCTATATATTGCACTTAAAATATTTTTCAATGATTGCACGCATATCCATACAATCTAAATGTTATTTAATGCTAGACATTGGAAGACAGATTTGATAGAATTTTGCCATATTTTGCATTGAAGGATATCCTTAATCGACGTGAATTAACTTCTATCTGAAAACATTACGTCTAGTAGAATTTTGATTTTGGTTAAGAATGTCTCAACTCAGACTTTACCAAAACCTAAAAATATTGCAGTTTTGAGCTATCTTTAGGCATTTAAAATTTTGTAACATGTTGAGAAATAAAACTCTATAGCTACAGAATACAAAGAAAGCAGTTAACAGTAATAATGACAAGCAAGTCAAGATCTACAATTAGGTTAACAAAGCCGAAATTGTAATTTCACTTCTTATCCTTGAAAGACGATTTTTATCCATTTGTTTTGGTATTTTGGACCGAAACTATAGTATACAGAAAGAAACTGAAATAATAATTATCAGCAATACAAGATTTAAAAAAAAAAAAAAATCTTAGTCGTAAATTATTATCTAGTCTTCAGCAATACAAGATTTACAAAAAATAAATCTTATTCATGAATTATTATCTAGTCTTCAGTATTCAAAATGCACACAACAAAGATTCTTCAGAGCCTCTAGTTTATTTATCAATAACACAATTATACTTTTGAAACAGTCGAATTCTTATGTCAAGTAATTTGAATAGAAATTTATTTTGTTTTTGTTTTGTATTTGTAGGATCACCAAAAATCCATTACGCATGAAGTTAAAGCACTAATGAATAAATATGAATAACTCATTTACCGAAATTCGTGTAGAAATTTATGTTGAAAAGTCAATACTTCTGAGAGACAATTACTCAGAAGATGGAAAAATAATCAGCGTAAGAGATACAATTAAGTCAATAGATGAGTTTCTAGAAGCAAAAGGAAATACATATATTAAAGAAGCAAAAAACAATAAGGATAATGGTTTAGGGACAACCATATGCAACAGAGAGTCCCAAAATGAAAGACATTCTGAAAATCATACAGCTAAATCACACAAATTCGGCGAGAAGAGTATTGCCAAGAGACGAGTAAAAAATACTAGCGAAGAGAAAAACATTCCGGAAAAAAGAAATTCCAGCGAAAGTGATAATCAAACAGTCCTTAGCAGCTCGTCATCACATTTAGAACAGGAAAACAAAGAAGAAGATTCTCATGTTAAAAGAGATTATTTAACAGCTAATTTGCAAAAGAATAATTATGTTTTGCAATCACTAGGTACAACTGCGTCACAAAATATCCAACAGCTATTATACGATACATCAGAAAATACCCAACAACTAGTTATCAATACAGCAGAAAATACCCAACAACTAGTTTATGATACATCAGATAATAACCAACAACTAATTAACGATACAACAGAAAATACGCAACAACTAGTTAACGATACATCAAAGAATACCCAACAACTAGTTTACAATACAATAGAAAATGTACAGCAACTAGTTCAGGATACAACAGAAAGTAGTGAATTCAATGAATCGTCGGATTACGATGGATCGTCCTCAGGATTTTTCTCGGACGATGAAATGGAATTCGACGATGGAATAAATGAAAGAATAAAATATTCGAAATTCTTAAATTGTAAACATAGAACCAGGCACGTATCAAAGCGGAGATCGGTTGCGGATAATTTTCACAGTAAAACGAAGAGTATTAATAAACGACAACGTGTTTTGAAAAGTAATGCAGTTTTTAATGTAAGTCAACACCAAGTACACAGCATTGTGGACAGTCCAGAGCAAACACACAAAGTTCAGTTAGGTAGTTTTAACTTTATCGGAAACTTAGACAACATGAATATACAGGAGACATGTCTTGATACAATGAATTACATATTAGATCATATTGAGTGTGAATGTATAGAAGATAAGAAATATGAACTTCGCCTTGGAAGTTCGAGATCGTGTCCCAGCAAAAGCCGTGAAACCTCAACAGGCTGTTCAACAGGTAAAGTAAATCTGCTACGAGCACACAACTGATAAATAATATTATGAGACAAATAATGAAGTTACAGATTCTATAAAATTAGCAGACATTGTCCTTCTTAAAATGTTTTAAAAGTTCAATAATACAGACTTCATATAAACTTTAGATGAAGAAGTAACAGATTTTGATTGAAAGATAAAAAAAAGTTTAAATACCAACAACAAATGCATTTATAATCCATACTATTCTTTCTTCCAAACAGGTGTTCCTTTTGGTAATAACGTCAATGGCCAACCAACGAACATCGAGTCAAATGAAATCATAACGAATTTTCAAAACAAAAAATCACTTCTGATAAAAAATAAAGAAGAGAAATCGAAATGTAAGACAAGAGATTTAAACAGGGAAATCGATGATTTAGAACCAGGGGAAATTCGTGACGAGGTGGACTCGACAAAAAAGGACAAACGTAAAACTTCAGCACAATACGGTAGTAGTTCATTAAAACGGTATTTATTAACAAGGCGAGGTAGTAAGTATATAAGTACTAGTCTCCGATATAGTTCTCGATATATTAGAGGTCGCTATAGTAGAGTTTTAAGGGGTCGACCGCCATACAGAGGAAGATCTCAATCTTATCGATCATTGTCGCGAGGACGCTCACTACCTACTAGAGAAACACAAAATAACAGATCCAAATTTGATTGGTTTGATTATTCAAGTAGGAGAGGTGTAGACTATCTACCCAATGAATCTACAACAGATCAACACGACCTGAGAAATAGAATAGAAGCAAATGAAAGACGACCATACAGTACCGATGGACCATCTTGTCGTAGTTTAAGACCCTCTCTATACAGAGGTAGAAACTATTCACGATACGGAACATTACAACATATGAGAAAACCATACGAATCTGTGTCAGATTATATAAGAAAATACAGAAGTTTCGAATCAAAATGTGAAAGTCCTACTCCGTCTGCACATTATCGTTATCAATCGTCTGAGCATTCGAGAACGCAATATCGATATAGCGAAGAAAGGGAACACTATTACAATCACACCGCGACATTAAAACATACTAGCGAAGAACGTTGTACCGATAATATATATACAAGGCCTTCTTTCGAATGGAGGACTTCAGAGATTAGAGTCCCTAGCTACAAAAATTTAACAATAACACGTAGATTTTCCACTGGAGATGAACGTTCCAACTATACTCAAAATGAGAAAAGAAATTATCGATCACACAGTGACTTTTTTGAAACAAATCCACATAAACATGATAGATATATATCAGATGAATCTCGTAGAAAATCACCTGGCCAACGCGAGGAAAGGGCTTCAAAGGAGCATACATCGTTATATAAACGTGAAAGAACTGATTACAAAATAGAGGAAAGAGAATATGATAGAAAAGAGTCCATGAAACACGAGAAACAAGTGTCGAACGAATGGGAAAGAAATTCTTCACGCAAATCTGTATCAAGGACAGACAGTCTTAAAGGTAAAATGTCTGAACAGGTCCAAAAGAATATAAGAATTAACCGACATTCAACAGGCGAAAAGGGAACTTCACCAGACGAGCAAGAGATGAGAGTATCGTCTGTTGTCACAATTGCTCCATCAATTCAACAAGATCTTGCTGACAACATCACAGTGTCGACAGAAGACAACAGACAGAAAACAATTGTGAATCCTGTTTCATCATTCAAGAAAGATGCGCATATGAAGTGTTTTGATCTTGTCAGAGAAGCGGCATTCAAACAAGCCGTACACTTTTCAGAAGACAATTGGCAAAAGTATGCCAAAAGAAAATTCTTATTCGAAGATGAATTGGTAGAACAATTAGAACGAAATTACGACCGCTATCTTTATTCTGCCAACGATTTTCAGCAGAATAGTGGTGGTCCTTTGCCAAGGTTCGTTTCTGACGAGCTGATGACGGAGGCAATAGTTAATACATGGAAACAGCCACAAATGATTGCGTCACTAGACAGACAGTTTCGGGAATTCGATGACATTATTGGTTATGTTGGATATAACATTCCTTGTTACTGGTGTGAAATGATTTTTTCCGAAGGGAAATTTGTTCGCGCATTCCCTGTATTAGACCCAATTGGACATAGAGATGATACAATGTATTGCCAAACCGACCAGTGATTTTTTAAACATAAACTTATTTTGCATAGAGATCCATAAGTTTCCTTGCAATTAATAAAGTTTCTTCAAGTTTTGATACAGCTTATTTGATATTTTAGTATGAATTTGATTCAAGTTCTACAACTTCATGTTCACTGTTGTGGATCTTGAAAGATGTCCCATTGTACGAACATCTTTTCGCAATCAAACCCATACTTGAAGAAACCATTTCTGCAGATTCAACATTTGTACCCTATTTTTGTTGCCACTATTATATATAATATTTATTTTTGTTACATGTTATAAAACGATAATGAAGAAGCAATGTCACGAAAAAACTATAACAATTATCCTAAATAGTGCAACGATTATGTAATGATACACACTTTATCATTTTATTGATCTGTGATTAGGGTGTTCTTCATTGTTTTATCAATGGTTAGATAATTTGCCTCGATATGTTATTAGATTAAGGGTATTAACACTTTTAATCTTTTGAATCTGTTAAAATATAATAAAAGCTGATATATATGTTGAATTGTTTTGTTGGTTATTATATCCCACCTCGTTCTCCTTTCCTAATAAAAATAAAATAAAAAGACAAATAGAAATGGAAACAACTAGTTGTAAACCAAAACAAATGGTGGCTGCAAGTAAGATAACAGGGCAATGTTGAATAAAACATGTTTCTTCCATCGAGATAAGCAGCCAGGATAAATGTATTTTTCTCTACAGTTTATTGTAACATACATGTTACATAACCTAAAACCATTGACTGTGTATATATATAAATGTGTAGAAAAAATGTCAACAGCTGCAAAAGATTATTAACAATACAACGATGAATATATCGTCTAAGAAGAAATCTTCCAGACTTTTAATCAATCCAAATACGTCTTTAAATATCGTTTCTTCATATACGAGAGATTCGTAATACCAGATGTCAGTACTTAACATTCAATGTAAGGTCTTCAGCCGTAAGCCATCTGTGGTTGCTCATCAGAATTTCTCTTTTGCTTGTACAGCAATCTAATTAAAATATAGTTCTCTGATTTCGTTATACTCATATGAGTTATATATGTACGAGCACGCGAGTTAATATAGCTATGAATTTTAATTAGATTGTTTGTACAGATAGCACCAAGGCAAAAGTGGTTTACATCCCCAAAGTAACACACATATAGACATGAAGAGTAGGAAATTACCAGCTCTACACAAGTTATTATTAAAGATATATGAGGAGCATCTTAACTAAGTTAGAATATTATAATTCAGCATTGAAAGTACTTGGGTACAGTTTTATTTATAGTATTAAAGCCTGTTTAAATGAATTCTAATAAGTTGTGAAATACAATCTGCCTTCACGATTTGTTATTACCTCTATGGATCTTTGGATGTGTGTTCCCCATAAATATATTATGCCTAGAGTCCGGCTCAGATTTCACAAAACTTGCGACAACAAGCAGGAAATCGCAGGATATTTAAAAATATGGTATTATATAATGTTTTATAAGTGAATCTTTATTCTTATTCCAATCAGTAACACTTTACTCCCAGCTTTGTATGGTATTGTCCGAAGCAAAGCTAACAAATATTTAACATTTCTTAAAACAAAGGCAATTTATATTTTTGTATACGATTCAGCACTTTGACATGGGGTTTCTTGTATTCTATTTTGATAATTCCCAAAGTTCATTAGACGACATTTTATTTAGAGTCCTGACTTGTTATTTTGTGTAAAGTCTCTTTGCCTGTTGAAATATATCGAATTTTACAGTCAGTTTATTCAAACCAAGAACTATAGGAAACGATAAAGCTATAAAATATTTAGTTCTAGTAACTTATACGCCAGGCTGTAGATTATTCTGTAAACGATTTGCTTTCCTTAATCATCATATATACGAAAAAAAAACTCAATTAAGTCTTGTTGAAGGGTATGACTGTATGTTAGCTAAAGTTATATAGTACATGTTAGCTAAAGTTATATAGTACATGTTAGCTAAAGTTATATAGTACATGTTAGCTAAAGTTATATAGTACGCGTTAGCTAAAGTTATCAAGTACATGTTAGCTAAAGTTATCAAGGACATGTTAGCTAAAGTTATATAGTACATGTTAGCTAAAGTTATATAGTACATGTTAGCTAAAGTTATCAAGTACATGTTAGCTAAAGTTATCAAGGACATGTTAGCTAAAGTTATCAAGTACATGTTAGCTAAGTTATCAAGCACCGCCGTCGTTTTTATTATTTTTCTATTCATACCATCAGTCTGATGATGACAACAAATGCATAAGTCAAACACTTGTAGAATCTAATTAAAATTCATATCTAAATTAACTCGCGTGCTCGTATACTCATATGAGGATAACGAAATCAGAGATCGATATTTTCATTAGATTGACACTAGAAGAAATATAGGCTGTACTTTCATTATTTTAACAGTTCTATCAAATTTACAAAAATTGTTTTTCAGCCTAAATATTTTCAAATTATTAACATTTGCATAAATACTTAAAGTAAAGTACATTAAATTGAATCACACTTTTCATGTTAAGGATGATTTACTTCTGTGGAAGTTGTACATATTCGGAAAAAAATTACTTCTAATAAATGCAAATACATATACCGTAAATAAGACAATATATGTCTTTTTATATTTCATAATATCTTATATGTAGAGAGAGAAGTAGCAGTACCATGTGAATACAAAAATATGCAGACTGGTAAAAATAATATAGATCTATATACTTGTTTTAATGAATTGCGGTCATCATACTTTAAACGTTCCAAGGAAAACGCAGTTGTTATTTTCCCATGAGATATAGAATTGATTTCATTTTGCATGTATGTGTTATAATTCGTTAAAGTTCACATTTAGTTTCAGAGTTGTTCATTCAGATATATAAGACAAGTAATTTAAGCCGGTTACACCATCATGTGCCTATCCCAGGGGTGAAGAAGACCCTTATTTATTTGGGGTCAAATTAGTCAAAAGTCAGGGTCATAGCAGCTTTGATAGACTGAAATTTGGGCAGTTGTGATTTCCGTTGTAACCATATATCGAACCTTCACCGAATTCACCAAATTTATCTGGATAATATGTCTATTTATAGAAAGAAAAGGATTCCTTTTATTTTTTTATAATCTTTTTATAATCAGTTTGTCAAAGACCAAGATCACAGTACAAATTTGTTTCTGAGCAATATTTTTTTTAACCATAAATCTCGGATATTAACCTATATTTCCTGTATAGTTTACAGTGGGATGAAAAAAAATCCAGTTACTATTTTAAAGGTTCATGTTATAGCAGCAATTAATAGACCGAAATTTGGACATTTTTTCGCAGCATTAAAAATGAACTACCAATAGACTTCTTTTCGGAAATGATTATATATGGTTCCTTTTCTTCTGTTATTTGACAAAGAAAATGAAAGACTTTGATATTCATAAAAGTAGTATTGAAAAAGTTATGTGTATGTCTCAAGTTAAGGTTGGATGCCACCGTCTGATTGTGTAAATTTACAAAGGCAAAAAATAAAATAAATAAATAACAATTTCAACGAACTTTATGCCAAATAATAATTCAACCAACTTGCTGAAAAATATGTAACAATTTAAAAAAATAGTTGATGGAAATAAAAAAAAGAGTAAACATGACAGTTTCAACAGGATCGAGGTAGTACAAAATCTTAGAAATAAAGTAATAAAGAAATGTTCCATATAACAAACAATCATATTGCGCTATGTGAAAAAACAACGAAAGCGTTACAGCAACTTTTTGTTCTTCAGAGACAATTGAAACTGCTAGTAAACAACCAATTTAATACAAATACACTAACAGGTCAACAGCCACTTTAATAGGAAGGTCACTGATACCATCTCGTGCCAATTCGTTTAGTTTTTCTTATACAATATTTCGAAAAAAATATGTCTTTTCTAGACCAGGCCATGTTGTGGTCAGTTGTAGTTTAATATAAGTAGTTGGGTTAAGAATTGCTTTGGTTTAATGATAAGTCGGAGTGGAATGTCTAGCTTGCGCTCAGTTCATGACGACCACACATCTGTTTTGACTTATCAACATAATGAATACGCATGTACATTGATTGAGATACATATTTTTGTGGTTTTGCAAATTACAAACAATCATCCTCTTGAATACTGAAGATAGAAAATTAAGAAATCGGGTGCCAATAATGTAGCACGAGCTAAATGTCTAACTTTCGGAGCACATCAATTCAAGTGTTGTTTTGTTTACTGTGTAGTGTTTTGTAGAGTGTTTCTTGTCTGTTTACCTTTTGTTCTTGTGGTCATGGTCTTATTTCAACTTGTGATTGTGGTCGCTTCCTTTATTATTTCCAAGTACTGCTCGTCACAGTTGAGTAGATATTAAGGTAAGCCGTATATGTGTTTGCAAATCAGATATCAGTCGTACTTTAATCAACAGATGGGTGTTCAGTCAGTCAAAAAACTGTTGTACAGCCTATATCGATTGACATACAACCTTAATCGACTGGTTGCGTAGAGAAAAACATCTATTTGAAAATAAGGAGATGTGGTATGACTGCCAATGAGACAACTATCCACCAAAGTTGAAATGAGGTGGATGTAAGCAATTATAAGCAACTGTACGGCTGTCAACAATGTGAAAAATCCATACCGTATAGTCGGCTATAAAAGGCCCAGAAATGAGAAAACTAACGGCCTAATTTATAACAAAACAGTTTACGAAAAACAACTATGACAGACATGAACCAACGACAACCACTGAACTACAGGCTCCTGACTTGGGACAGGTACATAAAGAATGTGGCGGGGGTAAACATTTTTGAAGGCGCCAACCCTTTCCCTAACCTGGGACAGTGGTGTAACAGTACAACATAAGTACAAACAATAAAATCAGTTGAAATAACATTGTCAACTATAGATTCAGCAGAGACATACAATATCAATGGTGTTTTTCAACTTCTTTTATATTTTCGAAGATTACCTGAGGCTTTTATCAACAGATTGGCCAGGAGTCAGCAAAAACCTGTTGTCAAAACTATATCGATTGTTTGCATAGAAAAAATAATCTATTGTTCATTTTTGACTATCCAGATCGAAATTTTCTAAATATTTATTTTGATTTTTCCGTATTTTACTTATCAATGGACCTAATTTTTTTTACAGTTAACAATCAGGCTCAGTCTGAGGTTAAAGTTTTTCAGTCATCAATGACTTTGTCACAGCTTCATGGAAATTTATGAAATTTGGACAGAAGCTTGTGTATGGCCAAAATACAGTATCCAGATCAAAATTTTGAAAATATTTATTTTTATTTTTCCGTATTTTACTACGGAAGCCGATAAGGGCCATTCAAAAAAAAAAATTATGTCGTAATAACGACATAGCATGTCGAAATTTCGACATAACATGTCGTTATAACGACATCGCTATATCGTAATTTCGACATAACATGTCGTTATAACGACAACGCTATGTCGTAATTTCGACATAACATGTCGTTATTACGACATCACTATGTCGTAATAAC